TCGACACCAGAACTGGGCGGCCTCAAGGCCGGTGCCCGGAGGGGGGGGGCCCGCGAAATCGGGCTTGAACTGGAACCCGAGGTGGAGGGGGGAGGTGCCAGAGATCGGGTCTTTCAACCTACGAAGCTCCCCACTAGTGAACTCTTCTCTGGCATTGGCGGTCTTGGGGCACTCCAGGAGGCGATGTTGGAGGTCATCTTTGCGGTGTCCACATGGGCAACCTTGGGGCACATCATATCCCGCAGACAGGGCGCGCTCCATAGTCCAGATGCTCTGTGTGGCAAAGGCCAGCAGCGTGCCGCGCTGCTGCTTGGTCAAGTCGGCTGACCTGAGGACAGTGCGGAGTGCTGCGACGTCGAGCTGCTCACCTTGAAACCCCATCTTGGCAGCAGCCCGCTCTGCGAGGCGATCGTGCCAGGCAATCTCGAGCTGCTTGGCAATGTAGGCTGGGGAGGTTCCAGGGAGGGGGTACTCAAGTCCTGCAGGAGTCACGAACCGAAAGGGCCCCTGGAACGACCACCCCACCCTGGCCAACGAAAGGGCCGCCGCACTGAGAGGGTCCCATGCAGGAGCCCCACGCTTTGGAAACCCTCGGCAAGACAGCCTCACCCCAGAGGCTGAGCTGCTGGAGACTGGCCACGGCCTTGTCGGGTTGGGTTTGGGCCTCCCAGACGAGACGGTGCCACATGAGCGCGGGCCCGAGGCCCGCTTTCCACGGGGGGTCCTGGAGTATGAGGAGGGCGAGAGTACGGCTCCTCGAGGCACACCTAGGACCTGCCGCGGCTAAGTACTGAGACTGGGCCTGCGCGAGCATCGTGCCGCTGATACCCGTGACCTCCACTCCGAAGGTGGTGGCCGCAGCCAGGCCAGTATTATACAGCTTCTTTCCGTTACCTCCAGCATGTTTGATCATTTTAATGCGGGTCATGCGTTTCTTGATCTTGCTTATTCGCTCCAAAAGCTTCCTTCCTTTCCTCCATCTCCTTCGGGGTCGTCCAGCTCCGCTTTCGATGCCGAGGTTGGGTCCTGAGATGTCCGTGGAGGGCCCCGCGAGCGTCCCGAGGGTCTTCCGAAGCTTGTTTTGGAGGTCCTGGCTGGAGGCTAAAACCTGGCTCTTCTTGTTAGCAATCTGGCACTTAAACTCGTGCTGGATACAGGTTGCTAAAGACCTGGCCGCCGAACTCATCTGGCGAATCGCTGCATCATAGCTCCTGGCATGGCACTGCAACAACAGATCGTCGATAAACAACTGCGCGCGGCCGTCCACTGGTCAAGGGGAGCGAACACATACATTTGCACCAGGTACGTCGCCCACCCGCACCCAGCAATTAGTCCCCTCCACGCCTTGCCGACACTGACACACACACACACCTTGCATGGCAACAAACCTGGAACTTCCGTACTGAGCGAGGATGACGCGGAGCAAGCAGCACGGGAAACCAGAGGCTACGGCACGCTTGGCGAGGCACTCGCGGTCAACATGTTCATAATAGTTCGAGAGGCCCCATAGAACTTGAGCGGAGTATTGGGGTTCCTCACGGCACGCATGATTTTCACATTCAAGCGACTGCGCATAGACGAGTTCCACGATGGAGTGCCCCGCCTGGTGTGCTACGTAAGGTCTTTTGTGGTGACATGCCCACTCGCGGGCCGCAGACCTTCGCAGACGGGCCCGCGCACGATACAGAGCAGGGAGCATGCCAATCGACCGAAAGGATGGTTGTGCAATGATATCTTCCTGCTGTTTGAGTTTGAGCATAAGAGTAGAGATAGCACCCTGCAGCTGCGATGGCATGTGCCCGATCTGCTCAATAAGCTCGATCAACGTACAGACTAGGTCGGCTTGCTCGTCGTCGAGCACGGCGAAGTGACGTGGATGCACTCCGTCCCAAGTTGATGCCGTACTGCGCGGAAAACTACGAGAAACCTTGCGGAGCCGCTCGGGGGTGATGGGTCCCAGGGCCACTCTGTCGTCGGTCGGGGGAACCCACTGCGGAGGGGCCTCGGGGTGGACGTTCCAAATCTCGGCGAGTCTGTCGGCCTCAACCTGGAGGATGTGCTGCGGGCGCCCAGAAAAACGCCGGCGATGCACAACAGAGACTGGCTTCCAGGCTTCGAGCTTCTTCGTCCACCTGTGCGCCCATCCCGCCCCACCTCTCATAGAAGATTGCACCCAATCCCTCCACTCCTGCCCGTCCTTACTGTGCTCGGCGGCAAGTTCGGAGTCGATAATATTGCCGACCTTCTCGGGCAGATCATCTAAAATCTGGATGCCCAGCGCAGCGTTGAGCCTCTGCGCCTGGAAGTCCTCATGCAAGAGTCCTGCAGCTATACGAACTTCCTGCAGCCCCTGGGCCAGGCCAGGAGAGGTGTTAAAGCTATCTGGGCTGTCTTCCAAACTGTCCAGGGTGTCCCGAAATTCCTGGAGGTCATCATCCTGGATGCTGCGCCGAAAACCTTGCAGCCGATTTTGGAGCCACCGAAGGGGCCTGGAGTAGGCCGTCCAGCATTTACGTCCCTGGGAACACTTAGCACTCGCCGAGACCCAGTGGATCTGGGGGGGGGGGTGGGCCCTGGAAGTTCTGCTGGGTTTGAGGGGGGTGTCCGTTTTCACGCTGAGTGTGTGCTCAAGGTCCTGGACGAGGGTGAAGTACACGTGGCCCAGGGCGGTGGAGCGCTGCTGGTCGGAGAGGGGCTGGGAAGCATCTCCGAGAAGTTGGATAGCATAATCTACCACTGCAGCTGTCTGATGCCAACTCACCGACGGGAGCTGAGGTCCTATGGGCGTCCTAGTGGGGGGCTTCTCGGGCCTGAGGAGCGTCGGGATCTTAAAGTTGTCCTGCACTCGCAGGGTCATGATAACAGGACGGTGGGGGGAGAGAGGATAGGAGGCCAAGGAACGAGGGGGGTTCAGCCAGGGCCCCAAGGCCTGGCTGTGGATAAAGAAATCGATGGTCGATTTCGTCTTCTTAGTGTAGTAGGTGGCAGCGGTGGGCGCCGCAACCGACATCGTGGCACGAGTAAGAAAATCCGTGCCTTTCTGAATCCTCTCTGGCTGCAAATTGAAATCACCAGCGACAATGAGAGGCTTGCCAACGAGATCTTGGGTCTGGCCGATGGTGGCCAGCAGTTTTGGGTTGGTCTCGTTGAGACCCACAGAAGCCTGAAAATAAACGCTCACCAAACCGAAGGCTGGGACCCCCGGCGCTTCGATGGCAACTCCAGCGAGCCTGGAGCTGTCCGTCGCGGGAGGGAAGGGAAGAGGCTGGACCCCCAAGTCCAAGCCGTCCCGAACTAAAACCGCCACCCCCGAGACTGGTTCACCCGAGGGGCTGCGGGCGGCTGGCGATACATGGGCGAGCCAGCCGCGTGCGAAGCACCATGGAATCTGACGCGTGATGCTATCCCCTGACTCAAGTTTGCACTCTTGAGCGCAGATAAAAGTTATTTTTTCGCAGTGGCGGACTCAACAAAGGCCCTCACTGCTCCCCAGCACGACCCGTTGATCGTGGCGAACGTGTAGAGGTTTCCGTCAGGAACGCGACGTAGCTGGCCCCGTGGCGCCAGCGGCTGCGGAGGCGGCCACCCCGATCGATGCTGCCGCCGCCTTCGCCCGCTTGGCCTCTGGGCCATTCTCGCCCTGGATCTCCGCCATGCCGCTGGCCACGGTCTGGAGGGCGGACGCCGCGCGCACCAGGGACTCCGACTCGTCCATCTTGCCGTCGTCGAGTTCGGTGTCGGTCGGAGTCGGCACGTGCTCGGCGGGGTTGGCCTGCTGGCCTGCGACGGGGGGCGCGTCAGCGCCGCTGGAGGCCGCGCCCGTGGCCTCGCCAGCGTCCTCCTCTGGCTCGTCCTCTGGGCACTGGCCGACGGCAGGGGGGCCTTCCTCGTCCCACGGCCGCGGCCCAGGCGCCTGGGCCTGCGCGCGCTGGGCGGTGAGGTCGTCGAAGTAGGAGGCAAGCTCAGCCACCTTCGAGCAGAGGTCGGGCGGCGCCCTGCTGCCAGGCGGCATGCGAGCTGCGAGGACACCCTGCAAGGTCGAGAGAAGGTCTTCATCCTTTGTGGCCGCTTGCATAGCGGCCTGCTTGGCCATGTTGTACTGGCTCTCGAGGCTCTGGATATCCTGCTGAGTGGTCTTGGCTTCCTCGACGAGTTTGGAGTGCCGGCCGCTGGCTTCCAGGATGGTCTCGACGAGCTTCTTGAGTTCCGTAGTCTGTGTGACGTACTTCTGGCGCTGAGTCTCCAGCTGGTCCGAGAGAGATTGCGCCTGTTGATCCAATAACTTTTTAGCCAGGACGGAGGCCCTGGCCTGCTTGAGTTTGCCCAACGCTGCATTGTGCTCTTCACCGTTGGGCTTCCACTTCTTCCAGAACGTGACCTGCGCCTGTGCCAAGGCCACGGGGTCTTCTTCTTGTGGCTGTTGTCCTTCTCCGTCAGCGAAGGTGACCGATCCTGGCCGCCGAAGACCTGGCGGGTGACTGGGCCCTCGGGATCGGTCACGTCCACGCCAGCGGCCAGGCTTGTCTGTGGGCTGCGGTGGCGGCGGCTGGGACTCCCACCCTGCCCCGCCCGCGGCACCTGGGTTGCTGGCGGCGCTGCCACGGGCGCCTCCAGGTGGTACATACTGCTGTAGCTTGAAGCGGCCACCACATTGATCACAATGCTTAGCCCCAGTACTGCACCAAGCCCAGCCCTTACAACCACGGCGATTGCACATGACGTACTTCTGCTGCTTGGCCATCGCGGCTTGTGGACCCTGCGCCTCCCAGGCGCGCACAAGGGCGCGGAAGCCAACTGCGCTGTCGTGATGCCGAAAAGGCCACGGGGGGCCTGCTCGAGCCCCAGCACCCAGGGCCTTCCCTGGATGGCAGTGCGACAGTCTTGAGCCAGGAGGAGGAGGAGGAGGAGGAGGAGGAGGAGGAGGAGGAGGAGGAGGAGGGAGGAGGAGGAGGAGGGAGGAGGAGGAGGAGGAGAAGGAGGAGGAGGAGCGTCCCGACCTGAGCATGGGGCAAGCGACTCCTGAGGGAACGGACCCTGATGCCGCCCCCTGGACGAGGTCTTCGCCCTGAGCCGTTCTCTGACAGTTCCGGGGCTCGTGGAGGGCCCCGGGAAAAATCAAAAACGGCGAAAAACCTCAGGATCCGTTTCCCTCAGAGCCCGCTTCCACCTATAGGAGGCAACTGCGGGGAGGTCTTCGCCAGAAGGATAAAGCCTCATTGGGGGGCTGCTATACGCCAAATTCGGCCGCGGATTCCGTAAGCGGGATGAAGCCGGATGACGCAGGACTACGCCGGATTTCGGACCAAGGCAAAGTCAGAATTTGACCTCCACGGAATGTATAAGCTTTTGGCGCTCCGCGCGGATTTCTTGCATCTGCGCTGGAGCCCACTCCCTGGCGCGCCGAACGCGCCAGGGGCGGCGCCGGAGGCGCCACCCGGGGGTCCAGCGCGGATGCAAGAAATCTGCGCAGAGCACCAACAATTTATGTTCATGATGCTTTTTTCGGGGGCGCGCAAACATGGATTAGCGATCCATGGATTTGGCGCGCGGTCGCCAAAACCATGGATCGGGGGAGGTGCCCTCCCCAAAATGCTGCCCGTACCGCCTCGCTCGGCGGCGGAAATCCGCGACTCCCCCTGGAAACGGGACCCGTCGCGAATCTGCGCCCCCTGGGTCCATGCCGGCGATCGCCTGATGTTTTCTTCTCCGAAGGTAGACGAGCGCGTTCCACTACTTGCAAAGTGGCTGCTCTCAAATGGTCTGGATCCGCCGCGGGGGATCTACGATACCTTACATCGAAGCAGACATCTGTTTTCCGCACGTTTGCCAGTCGGCACTTTGCGAGCAGTGGAACGCGCTCGACGAGAAGGACTGGCGTCCGAATCCCCGCACCGCCGGAGGAGGAGGAGGAGGAGGAGGAGGAGGAGGAGGAAAGGGAGGGGAGGAGGGGAAGGAGGTGAAAGAGGAGGAGGAGGCGGAGGAGGAGTAGGAGGAGGAGGAGGTGAAGGGGAAGTGGAAGAGGAAGGGGGAGGAGGAGGAGGAGGAGGAGGAGGGGAGGAGGAGGAGGAGGAAGGAGGGTTAAGGAGGGAGGACCCGATCCTCCCGCAGCCCGCACCGCCCGCCGGCCCCGCCGCCAGCCTCCGCGAGCCGGTCGGGCGGCAGCCAGCCCCCCGGAAGAGCATCAGAGCGCACGAACTCGTCGCAGCCCCCGGGACGGCAGCAGGCCGGGGAAGGCCCCGGCCCGTGGGAGAGGCTCGGGGGTCCTCCCCCTACCGCTCTTCTCTCCTTGCCTCCTCCTCCGTCCCCTCCTCCTCCTCCTCATCCTCATCCTACTCCTCTCCTCCTCTCTTCTCCTCCTCCTCCCTCCTCCTCCTCCTCCTCCTCCTCCTCCTCCTCCACCTCCTCCTCCTCCTCCTCCTCCTCGTGTGGTGTGGTGCAGTTGTTGATTGTTTGCTGCCGTTAAGGGCAATATATGGTGCGCTCCCAGGAGAGCGTCAGACCATAGGTCGTGCTGAAAGGTGGGCAGTGCGGCAGGGTCTTGCTTATCACCCCCAGCATCAGTGCATTGTGTCGGACCTCCAGGCTGTAGTGCGAGAAGGCAATTCTTGGAGCCTTCATCTGTCTCAAGGTATGTCCAAGCATGCGTCGATCTGGAGGTCCATTTTTGACCTGAGGTCTAATCACCCCCAGTTCTCGTGGTTCCCTGCCCATCTGAGTTTCGATGACGTTTTGGAGCGTGGGTTGTGCATCAAAAGTTGGGCTGGGAACCTGTGGGCTGATTTTTTCGCCAAACTTGGGGCTAGCTCTCACACGCTAGCTGATGGTTTCTGTGCTGCGGTTTCAGGACAATTAAAATATCATAAGTCCACGGTGAAGTTTATCGCGTGGGCTGCTCAGCGTCTGATCGAGTCTGGTGCTTGGACTCATCTCGACCCCGAGCGTCCTCTCCGTCTCCTGAGACCCCCTGCCCCTCCCAAGGTCACGGTCACCAGCCACGTCTTGTTTCGCTGCGAGGCCACCAGCACTTATAAGTGCAGGAGTTGTGGCCGAGTGGCTCGCACCCCAGAGTCACTCAAGAGCTTGCTCACGAGTAGTGAATACAGTGTCTGCTCTCCGTCTTCGATCCAGCGACACGTGTGCGACCAGTGGTTTCGTGAGTTTGGGGCGGCGTTCAGGCCCGTGCAGCTCGAAGCGGTGAGGGTTGCTCTGGCCGCCGCTGACGAGGCTCAGCGCGAGTGTGAGAATGAAGTCCAAGGTCCCCCGACTCCTGTGGCTGCTCCTGAGCCGTCAGATGAGTTTTCTGCGTTTCGGGACCTTGGACACGATGTGTTCAGACATGTGCATGTTTTTTGTTGCAAATCGTGCGGGGCTTACGGATCCCTTGGTTCGCTGCGAAACCTCACGCAGCACTGTAAAGGGAGATCCAAGGTCCCGAGCACGGCTGCCAACCAAAGGATGGCTATCAGACGTCTCGAGCGTGGGTGTCACCCTCGAACGGGCGCGAAGATTCTTGGGGCTGCCGAGAGCGAGGTTAACCGTGCGGAGGGTCCCCACCGTGCTGACTGTTCAGGGCCGCTGGAAGCGGCCTGTGCTCCCGATCCCGCTCCTGATGGAGCGAGTTCCGGGTCGTCCGATTAAACTCGTTTTGTTTTTCCTGGGTCGCCCTTGTAGTCTGTCGCCCGTCGTCCCCCCCCCCGCCGCATACGTGTGCGCCTACCTGGTGCTCGCGGAGTCGGGGTGGCAGGTGCACGACGTGGCCAGGCAGGCGGGGCGGCCCGCCCGCTCGGCCCACGCTCTGGCGTGCGCTGGGCGTTGATCGAACAGGACCACCAGCTCGAGGCTTGCCTCTTGCTGGTGGCGTGCGGTCCGCGCGCGCCTCCTCCTCCTCCTCCTCCTCCTCATTCTCCTCCTCATCCTCCTCCTCCTTCTCCTCATCCCCCTCCTCCTCCTCCTCCTCCTCCTCCTCCTCCTCCTCCTTGTCCTCATCCTCCTCCTCCTCTTCATTCTCCTCCTCATCCTCCTCCTCCTCCTTCTCCTCCTCCCCTCCTCCCCTCCTCCTCCTCCTCCTCCTCCTCATCCTCCTCCTCCTCCTCCTCCCCTCCTCCTCCTCCTCCTCCTCCTCTCCTCCTCCTCCTCCTCCCCCCTCCTCCTCCTCCTCCTCCTCCCCCTCCTCCTCCTCCTCCTCCTCCTCCTCCCCTCCTCCTCCTCCTCCTCCTCCTCCTCCTCCTCACCGTTCCTCCTCCTCCCCATCCTCCTCTTCCTCCTCCTCCTCATTCCCTCCTCCTCCTCGCCTCCTCCTCCTCCTCCTCCTTCCTCCTCCTCCTCCTCCTCCGCCTCCTCCTCCTTCCCTCCATCCTCCTCCTGCTCCTCCCTCCTCCCCCCTCCTCCTCCTCCTCCTCCTCCTCCTCCTCCTCCTCCTCCCTCGCTCCACGCTCTTCAGGACGAGAGAAGGAGGGCAGAATACCATTTCCCATATAAATGAGCACCCCGACAAGCGAAGTCCTTGAGTAAACTCACCTCACAAGGAGGGATCGAACAGGGCGGGGCTGTTCAGTAACGCCCAGGCTGTTATGGGGGTTTGGGCAGATCTTCCTCCCTTGAAGGAGTGGCGACGTGCTTGCATCTGGCTGAGAATTTACGGTCGGCAACTTTTGCTCAGCGTATCTTGGCGGCGGCCCCGGCGACACGCTATCCCTTGCAAGCTGATGGCGTGTCGCTCCGCTCCGCGGGGCGGGAGGTCGGGAAAGGCTCAGGGAGTTGACGCATGGGGACTGGGATGTGGACAGCGTATCGCGCCGAACCGCGGTGGGCCAGAACCAGCGGAGCGACACGCTAAGCCAAAACTCCCGACCGTGCGATACAGGAATTCCGCGGCATGTGGCGGCCCTCGTTTCTGGAGCCCGCGCGGAAGAGCACTTGCGGAGATCTGGGAACTCATGACTATGATGACCTCTTGCTCCTCCGCCCGAGGTGTCCACGGCGTCCCGCGCCATGTTCAGGGGAACGACACAACTAGAAACTCTGAGTGCACGCAGATTCCTCGCATCTGCGCTGGGGTCCCCTGGCTGGCGCCGCCACTGGCGCGCTCCGCGCGCCAGGGAGGGGGGGTCCAGAGCCGATCCGAGAAACCCGCGCGGATCCTCGAGTTTCAGAGCGGCTGTCACTGCTTGCTCCCCAAACCTGGGAGCCCCTGGGCGCCACCCCCCCGCCCGCGAGGCCGCGGGCCTCCCTGCGTAGACCCCGGGGGCCACCTTCGGGGCCAGGGCCCCCCCCCCCGGCGACGCCCCGGGCCTGTCAGGTCCACGAGCTCCTCCTCGGAGATCAGCAGCCCGCACTCCTCTCGTGGTGGCCACATGCGCGACGATCAAAAACTGGCCTTACGCAGGATGGCATAGCGACCTTGCGGTGTGGCTTACGCGGGCGGCTGTCGCGGCATTCTGCATCAGAAACGAGGGCGCTTACGCGCGAGCTTACGCGGGCAGCTTACGCGCCAATGTCGGCGCAGACGATCCCGTCTTTTTGCGTCGCTCACATGTGAACCCTACCCCCACCCCCCTGGTTTCTAAGAGGGGGTGGGGTTTCACTCTCCTCGGGACCTCCCGAACGAAATACACCCCCACCCCCCCTTAGAAATCGTGGGGGATGGGGGTAGGGTTCACATGTGGCCACGGATCCTCCCTCAACTCGCTGGCGGCGACGCCCGCGAAGCGGCCCGAGGCGTCCATCATGCCGGCCGGAATCTCGGGCACGTCGGAGGAGCCGACGGTAAGACGGAGCCAGGACAGGCAGAGAATCCGATGAGAACAAATCGGGAATCTCTGAGATCCAACAGATCTGGGGGCTGTATCGAGCGCCGCGGCCTTCTCAGAGCGTTCCAGGACCCTCCGAGAGCGCACGCTCTGGAACGGACTTATCCTCGTCCTAGCCCCGTCCGAGACGGGCACCCTGGGCTGCCGCACGAGCACTGTGTGCTCTTCGCCCTCGCACTCCAGCACGACCAGGACGGCCACCGAGCCGCCGCGCATGAACACGACGCCCGGGACGCGCTGCCCGCCCACGGAGACGTCCGCGACGAGCTTCAGGAAGCCGACCCGTTGCCCGAACATGTCGACCGACTGGAGGTGCACCCCGCGAACATCAAGCCGTGGGTCCCGCCCCACCTTCAGTCAGAGAAGGAAAAGGTACCCATGCCGCCACCCTTGTCTCGATTTCCCCTTCCTTGGGCACGCTGGAAGGCCCTCGTCGCCACGGCTGGACCCGCGTCGAAATCCTGGTCAGAACGCACCCTGGTCCAGGGAGTTGCGGTATCGGTACCTTTTGGACTACACAAGAAGAACATGTTTACACTCGCGGCGATAACGGGAATTACGGGGGGGAGGGAGAAGAGGCGGAGGCGGAGGAGGGGAGGGGGGGAGGAGGGGGAGGCGGAGGTGGAGGAGGAGGAGGACGAGGAAGATGAGGAGGAGGCGGAGGAGGAGGCGAAGGAGGAGGAGGAGGAGGAGGAGGAGGAAGGAGGAGGAGGAGGAGGAGGAGGAGGAGGAGCAGGAGGAGGGGGTGGGGGGAGGGGGAAGGAATGACGTAACGCCCCCGTCCCCCACCGTGAGACTCTGGTGCCCGACGCCTCCGGCCTCCGAGGGCCCCTCTCGCCGGGCCCCGCGGGGGGGGGGGCTGTCAGAGAAAAGCCCGAGATGGGAAGCCCCTTTGAACAAACCTAGACACTTTCTCGTCGGCGGCGAGGCGGAGGCGACCCGCACCAGCGTCGGGCCAATCGGGGGCATCGGTAGGCAGATTGCCCGGCGTGCAAGAGAACGAGGAGGAGAAGAGGGCGGCTGTTCCCTGTTCCATGGGGCTTCGCAGCAACGCCACGGGGCAATGTATAATGTATCATTTGCTGGCCTGTTCTCTGGGCGACAGGCGCTGAAGAGCTTGGATATATGTGTATATATATGACACATGAGACACTGTGATTAGGACACCATTTGCCACTAAGTGGTGAGCAAACATAACATCGTATAGATAACATGCTCCTAGCCGCAACTGCTCATTGCCCGCTGACCACCGCCGCCGCCCAGTCGCGAAACATGCGGCTCTTAATCGCCTCGGCCGCGTCGATGCCGGAGTGCGCTGTGACGGGAACCTCTTCGGGGCCCCCAAAAGCGTGTGGTGACGGACCGCGTGGTGACCTCGATATCCTTGACGACCTCACCACGCGGTCCGTCACCCCACGGCCTTGGGACCTCGAAGGCCCCAGTCGCCCGAGACATCCTCGGAGAACGAGTCAAGTCCCAAAACCGCGTGGTGACCCCGAACAACCACTGCTTCACGCGGTGCGGTCACCACACCGTCTGGGGGCCCCCGAACCTCGCGGCCGGCGATGGCGCACCTCGCCAGCGCCGCCGCGCCAGCGCCGACCATCGCCAGCGGCTGCAGGGAGGCGCCTGCTGCGCCGGCGCGGCCGCCGACGCCGACCGCCCGCCGAGCAGCTGCCGCCCGCGCCGCGCGTCCCGGCCAGCTGGCATGAGGGAACGGGGCCCTGAGGGTATCTCGGGTGCTCCTCCTCCCCCTCCTCCTCCTCCTCCTCCTCCTCCTCCTCCTCCTCCTCCTCCTCCTCCTCCTCCTCCTCCTCCCTCCTCCTCCTAATCCTCCCCTCCTCCCCTCCTTCCTCCTCTCCTCCTCCTCCTCCTCCTCCTCCTCCTCCTCCTCCCTCCTCCTCCTCCTCCTCCTCCTCCTCCTCATCCTCCTCCTCCTCCCCTCCTCCTCCTCCTCCTCCTCCTCCTCCTCCTCCTCCTCCTCCTCCTCCTCCTCCTCCTCCTACCTCCTTCCCCCTCCTCCTCCTCCTCCCTCCTCCTCCTCCTCCCTCCTCCTCCTCCTCCTCCTCCTCCTCCTCCTCCTCCTCCTCCTCCTCCTCCTCCTCCTCCTCCTCCTCCGCGCGGCGAACACACCCGCACCCGCACCCTCGCGGCCTGGACTCCCGGGCGCGCGGGCCCACGGAGAGGCGGCCGCACGGGCACGCTGCCGCGCGGGACGTCCCGCGACAAAAACGCTCCGTAGATCCGCGGGGCCCCCGGCCCAGGGGCCCGGGCCGCGAGGCCGCGGGTGCGGCTCGATGCGCTTCGCCCGCGGGGTGCGCCGACGAGGGGGGCCACGCAGAGGGGGGCTGGCGCACGCGCGGGCCGAGGCACGTTCTCGAACGGGGGGGGGGGCGGGGGGCGGAGAAGGAGGAGCACAACAATGACGAGCCCTTTCGTCACGGAGGGCCCCCGCTCCTCCGTCACGGTGCCCCTTCTGTCACAGAGGGGCGTGATCGTCCCTTTTTATCAAAAGGCTTGTGGATTGCTCACAGAGGAAAGGGGGGCCATGAGGAAGCAGAGGTGGGGACAGGCAACGCTGCTCGCAGAGGTGGGGACAGGCAACGCTGCTCGGCCCGGAGGAAGACAGCTGCCAGCAACGATAACGTGGGAGACCTCATGGCCCCAGCCGTGGTACCCAAGCGCCCCTGGTCCTCCCTTCCCCTCGTCCTCGTCCTCCTCCTCCTCCTCTTCCTCCTCCTCCTCCTGCGCCTCCTCCTCCTCCTCCTCCTCCTCCTCCTCAAATGTGGCTCCCGCTTTAGCGCCGCGCACATTCGTCATCAAGATCAGCAAGAGTTTCACGGATTCCCATGATCAGCGTACCAGAAACTGTGGTTTGGAAGGATTTAGGACCATGCGGGTGCAACAGTTATGCTGATTCGCTGTGTTGCAGTCCCAAAAACGGCGCTCTGGCACGATTCTGGATCTCCCTCCTGATCCCCCTCCTCCTCCTCCTCCTCCTCCTCCTCCTCCTCCTCCTCCTCCTCTCCTGCTCCTCCTCCTCCTCCTCCTCCTCCTCCTCCTCCTCCTCCTCCTCCTCCTCCTCCTCCCCACTCCTTCGGGCGCGGCCTAACCGACCCCTGGCAAGCCATCCCCTTCCGTGACGTGACCGTCGCCTTTCGAGCTTCCCTCCGGCCGCAACCACACGCCGTGGGCCTTTGGGCGAGACGAGGGGAACGTCACGGAAGGGGATGGTTTGTTAGGGGTCGGTTAAGCTGCCCCTGACTCCTCGACGCCCCCGGGAGATGGGTCCCTCGACCCCGGGGTGGCCTCTCCCAGGTCGGGCGGGTGGTAGTGGGGGGTGGCCTGAATGGAGGGTGAAACAGAGGACCCTCCAGGGCCCTTAAAGGGCCGCTTTTGGAGCTACCACGGGCCAAAAGCGGCCCCCGATGGCCCCCTTAGGACCCTTTCTTCACCCCCCGCAGTAGGGCCGCCCCCCCATGACAGACGGACCAAAAACAAAAGAACATCCGTCAGGAACATGAGACCCGAAGCTGGCCAAAACACCCCATGCACCAAAACATACCACAACACGAAGATTACAAGGGTAGCCTCCCCGAGCCGACCTCGATCTTATATCTCGGGCCGGCTGCATACCACCCGCCCGACCAGGACCAGCTCTCCGCCCCGGGCCAGGACCCTTCCCTTGGGCGGCCCGAGGGGGCCCAGGAGGGGCCCCCGAGGCCCCGAAGACTGGAAAGGACTCAAGACGCCTCCCCTGAAGTTCGACGCTGCGACAAACATGCGCCATCGCAGGAAATCACAGCCGAAGCCCTAGACCAACACCTTCCTCTCCCATATTGCGATGCGGATCGACCTGTGGGGGCCCCAGGGCCCGAAATTCATGACCAAGCCACCGGTGTCAAAGCAATGCGGCGCCCAGACCTCAGGTTCCCCCCCTCAAGGGTCTCCCCCCCGGACCTCTCCCCGAAGCGCGTCCTGTAGGAACAGGAAAGGCATAGACATATAATTTCGGAACTTCGCGCGGATGCCTCGGATCCGGGCTGCCCCCCCCCCCCTCCCTGGCGCACGAAGCGCGCCAGGGTCGGCGCTGGGGTCTGCGCCAGTGGCGCCGCCAGGAAGGGTTTACCCAACGCAGATCCAAAAAATCCGCGCGAAACTCCGAAAGTTTCTCGTTACGTTTTTTGATGTTCGTCTAGGACCGCCCCCCTTTGCGTCCTCTCTCGCGTCCTGCCCTCTCTTTCTTCGACTCCTATCCTATTTCGCGCCCTTTGCTTTTTTCTTCTCCGCGCCACGTCCAGCGTCTCGAGGTCTTGACGGAGAATGCGACGATACATCAGTTCACTCATGCCAAAACGGCTACAGCACGGTACACGCATCACTTCTCGACAGCGAGCTTAAGAGACAACTGGGGGCTCAGGGAGTGGGCCAACTGTCGACACCCCTCCCCGAGCCTCTCGTCGCCGGCGCGCGCGGGCGGACGGCGTCGGCCACGCCGCCCGAAACAGAGCGCACAAACATCCCGACCCACCAGGCGATGGACTCGGGCCCTCCATCCACGGTAATGCGGGATGACGATGAATAAAACAAATGAGAGAGAACGATTAAGAAATAGTTTTCTGCTATTTCTGCATATTTTTCTGACTGGAGGAGAACGTATGAAAAATAGTTTTCCAGCCCGCGGCCGGTTTTTTCTCATCGTCATCCCGGGCGCCGCCGCGTGAACACGACACCCGGTCATTTGTTAATCGTCATCCTCCATTACCTGCTTCCAGTGTGCGCCACACTCTCCTCCCTCAACGCGTGGTGGAGTGTCGTCACTCCTTGTCGCACGACACGGCAGCACAACAGGCAGCCAGCACGGGTGATGATCCGCTGGCTGCCGTTCCGCAGGGCCTGGCAGTTCGGGCTCGAGTGGGTCACCGCACGGTTGTCGTCCATGTGGTACAGCTGGATAGCCCGTCCTCGCTCACGGCATCGGTGCATTTCCACCGACTGCGCAATCAGCTCTGGAGGTTCGGGCTCCGACACAGTCGTGGCCGCTGTCGACATCGTCGGTGGTGGTGCCGCGTCAGGTCCTCGGCGACACATGCAAGGGCAGCACAGATCCATCCGCACTCCCATCATCATCCAGAACGCGGACTAAGCGATTACGACCATCATGTGGGGGTCCGGACCGGTCTCGGGAGCGTCTGTCTGCGCACGAGCACCGCTCACCAGTGCCCTGAACGTCGCCAGGTAGGTCGCGCTCCTTGACGCACCCAGGGCGGACGCGATTCCCGCCTCGAACGCGTCCACCACGCGCAGGCCCAGCATGGCGCGGCACTTCTCGAGCGCGATCCAACCCAGGAGCTCTGTACCAACGTCGGGCAGGTTCCCCGTGCCCTTGACCTTCACGAGCTTGATCTGGCCACTGCCCACCAACTGCTGGAGCCCAAACCACCTCACCTCCAAGTGGCAATCGCGATGGCAGACAACGCATCGCACTCGATCTCCAGCGACGCGTCAAAACCCATGACCTCGACCAGGGAGCTCCTCAGCGACCAGGTACTCGTCCTCGGGGCTTGACTAAAACAGCACCGACTCGGTGCGAGCGCATGCGCTGATCACTACGCCACACCATCACACGATCCCGCAGACCGTCGGCTGGAGGGTCTCATAGCACCCAGCCCAAATCGGAGCCCGTGCTCCCACGAAGGCGTTTCCAGGCGGGCAAACGCCAGGTCGATTGTCCCGCTGAGATAGCGGAGGAGTTGCTTCAGGCTCGTCATGTCCGCGGCGCGTGGCTAGCTCAGCCGCCGACCGAACTCCTTCAGCGGGCACATCACGTCGAGCCTCCGCGGGACTGCGTAATGGATCTTCCCGCAGGACGTCCGGCACAGCGAGTGGTCCTCGCTGTTGAGCGGCCGCTCGGCCCCAGGGGACCCGCACGTTCTCGCCTCCAGAGCCCCTGGGGCCACCGCCGCCACCTCCAGCAGGAGCGCCGAAGCCATCGCCACCGCCGGCGAAGGGCGACTGAACTGTCTCTGGCTTCGGCCCCTCCCTGGCCTTGGCCCTTGGCGCTCTCGCCGAGGACGTCGGCGAAGAGCATGAACGTTGCCGATTCCATGGGCGCCCGGAGGGCAACCTTCGGCGGGTGCCTGCCCAGAACCGAGGGATCGGCCTCGAGAGGCACGGCAGGCGTGGCAGGAAGGGCCGTGGCCAGTTCCCGATGGAGTTGAACCATTTCTTCCATCAGTTGACTTGATTTGTGCTCGCAGGAAATCCATTTTTTTTTGTTGGACTTGAGCCGACATGCGAACAACAGCACACACATGGCATTCTATCTCTGCTACTACAATGCACGACAGTGCAAACCTATCGGGAACAAGGTAATTATCGGTGTCCACATACTAGACCTGAGGGTGAAATCAGGCACGCTTCCACATGCCCCAAACTTTCTAGCAGATTTAGGGATCCCTTGTGGACACAAACTGGTAACTAAATCAATACACACGTGCTCACACGAGTGTAGCCCTGGAAACACCCAGCTCCCTCTCTTCAGCTGCACGCATGATCTCCAATTGCTCGGCGACGGACGTAGCCCGTGTAAGCCGATGAGCGAGATTCGTATGTTGAGCGAGCCCAGGTAGCCGCCAAAGTTGTCTTGGCCCCGCCCAGTTGCTTCTCAAAGGACTCACATGCTTCCTTGCCAGCATCACCACGTAGTGTCTTACATGAAGATCCTGAGAACTGGAGCCGCCGAGTCCTCTCCTCGAGCATGTCTTATTCCGAAAGGTCTTGCGCGTCAGTGGTGGCAGCCGGAATCAACGAAGAAGTGCCGCTCCTGTCGCCACTGGCCACCAGCGCATCGAAAGGCTTCTGCGTCGAGCTTTTGCTGGATTGGATTGCGTCCGCCATCACCACTTTGACGACGTGATGCATCACGCGGGGGGCCATCACGCTCAGCAGCTGCAGCGTGCTCGCGAGCACGACGAGCCACAGCAGGTGCATTCTCGCCACACTTGAGCACGATCCCGGAAGCCCAGTTCGTGTTCCTCCCGCACTGGGTGCACGCCCAAGTAGGCACGCGGGGGCCCGCCAGAACATCTCCAGCACCGCCTCCGCCTTTGGAGGTGCATTGCCCGAAAGGGCCCGTGAGCTGCCTCCGCAGAAGCGCGTGAAAGACTGCAGCCAAAAAGACACGCAGCAGCGACTGCCGCTCTAAAGACTGCTGTCGCAAGCGAAGTCCAAAATGCCTGAGCCAGAACGGCTAAGCAGGGGCGCGAGGAGGGAGGAGCGAGGGAGGGGAACTGGAGTAGGAGAAAAACCGCAGAGGAGGAGGAGGAGGAGGACGAGAAGGAGGAGGAGGAGGAGGAGGAGGAGGAGGAGGAGGGGGAGGAGGAGGAGGGAAATCAGGAGGGGAAGGAAGACGAGGAGGAAGAGCAGGAGGAGAAGGCGGAGAAAATGGAGGAGGAGGAGAAGGGCGAGGAGGAGGAGGAGGAGGGCGAGGAGGAGGGCGAGGAGGAGGAGGGACCGAGGGAAGGGAGGAAGGCCCTCCTTAGCGAGACCGCCAAGCGCGGCCGCGCTGGGGTGCGGCCGCCAGCAATGGCCCCCGCGCGAACGGCGCGGCCCAGCGGCGCCGGGGCTCCCGGCTCCCGCGCGAGGGCCGCGCGCATGGGGCCAGGGAGGGACGAGGATGAGGAGGAGGAGGAGGAGGAGGAGGAGGAGGAGGAGGAGGAGGAGGAGGAGGGGAGGAGGGGAGGAGGGGAGGAGGAGGGGAGGAGGGATGGGGATGATGATGATGAGGAGGAGGAGGAGGAGGAAGAGGAGGAGGAGAAGCAGGACGTGGAGGAGGAGGAGGAGGAGGAGAAGGAAGAGGAGGATGACCAGTGAGGAGAAGAAGGAGGAGGAGGCGGAGGAGTGAGGACAAGGACCAGCGAGGAGGAGGAGGAGGAGGACGACGACGACGACGACAACGAACAAATCTGCAGCGCTCGTGCCCGGGCCCTCATGGATATGGCCGCCCCGACCCTTCGGATCCCAACTGCGGGGTCCTCGCGAGCGGCCTCTTGGCCGTCGCGAGCGGCCCCGCGGCCGTCGAGGAGGCGGAGGAGGACCCGTGCAAACCCAACAGTCGTCAACGATGTTGGAAAAAACAGTCGAGGAGGAGGAGGAGGAGGAGGAGGAGGAGGAAAAGGAGGAGGAGGAGGAGGAGGATGGTGGTGAGGAGGAAGAGGAAGAGGGTGGAGGAGGAGAAAGATGAGGAGGAGGGTGAGGAGGAGGAGGAGGAGGAGGAGGGTAAGGAGGAGGAGAAGGGTAAGGAGGAGGAGAAGGAGGATCAGTGTAAACCCAGAACCCAACAATGATGTTGGAATAAGCCGTCCGAGATCCCTCTTCACAGGCCCCATACAAAGGCTCACTTTCACCGAGGGAAGTTCCCCGTTGGGCGACGACCCGTTGAAGATCCTGAAGCACGCCAAAGCACCATTCTCGGAGCCCCAACGCAACGAATCAACTTGACTGTTGCTCCTTGACGACACTGAATTGTGCCGGAACGCCATTCCAGCGACTTCAATACCGCGACTCAACGTAACTATTGCGCCCTGGCAATCTTGAGCCGCTCTTAAACGGGATGTCTGATACGTTGGCCATGCAAATCCAGCCAACTCTTGCAAATACATAAGACGAGTGCGCGCTGCGCTAGGGAGATAACCCCATTTTGAAAAGAAATCGCCCCTGTGACGCGAAACATTTGCACTTGTAAGACGGATGTGCGCGGTGCTATGGCGATACTTACATGTTGAAAACCATCCACCCTCTATCCGCGAAGCTCTTGCACATGTTTTAAACGAGCGTGCGCGTCGTTAAGGCGGAAGCAGCATGTTGAAGACCGCCCGCCCTCAATCCGCCAAGCCCTTGCAATTATCCAAACGAGCGCACGCGGTGCGAAGGGCAGAAGCACATTTAAAAAAACCGTCCGCCATCAGTCCGTGAAACTCTGGCATATGTTCAAGACGAGTGTGCGAGGCGCTAAAGCGAGAGCCGCACATTGGAAAACACCCGCCCTCAGGTTGTGAAGCTGCTGCCAACTTGAAAAATTCAAAGAGCACAGATGGTAAAGCAGTCGCGAGTGAAACGCCCGGCCCGCCGTTCCGACTGGCCCTGGGGTGCGACAGGGAGGAATGATTTATCATGGCAAAGAGTGGAGGAGAAGGAGGAGGCGAAGGAGAACGAGGCCGAGGATGAGAAAGAGGAGGATGGGGAGAAGAAGGAGGCGAAGGAGGAGGAGGATGAGGAGGAGGAGGGAGAGAGGCGGAGGAATGGGAGGGAGGGAGGAGGAGAGGGAGGGAGGGAAGGGGAGGAGGAGGAGAGGGAAAAGAGGAGGGGGACGGGGCAGAAGAGGAGGGAGGGAGGGAGGGAGGAGGAGGAGGAAGAGGAGGAGGAGGAGATAGCCCAATGTAAACCCAAGACTCATCAAAGATGTTGCAATACACCGTTTCTCCAAGTTCCGTGGTCGTTGGGCCCTACAAAGACATGTTATCACTGAAGGAAAAGCCACGTTGGAAGACAACCGTTTGAAAATCGTGAACCGTGCCAAATGACGATGCCTGGAAGCTTCACGTCTCGAATCGACGTTACTGTTGGGTCCTGACGGTCCTGAATCGTGCCAGACAGTCTTGCGCCACATTGAAAACAACCCGCACCCCATCAGCGAAACTGCAGCAAAGCTTTCAACATATGGACCATAGATGGTGGGGAAGCATCAGGCGAAACGCCTGGCACGGCTTACCGGCACGTCTCGGGGTGCGACAGGGAGAAGCTACTGTTAAGGACAAAGGGGTGAAGGAGGGAGGAATGGAGGGAGGGAGGGAGACAGACACGCAGGGAGGGAGGGCGGGACGGAGGAGTTGGAGGACGGTGGAGGACCAGAGCAAACCCAGGATGGGCCAAGGATGCTGCAAGACGCCCTCCAGCAGGCCCCTGCGAACAAAAACATTGTCCCGCTGCGGGATGAGCCCCCGTGGAACGACGAGCGCCCAGAAAGCCTGCCACCCCGGCTTTATCCCCACTCTGGTCAAGGATCCACGCTGCATCCTTGCAGCGACAAGAATGACTGCCTACCAGACCACCCCAACCTAACCCGAAGACCCAAATTTCGGGTTGGGGGGGGTACGGATTCCATGTGTTTTGTCAACGTTCCCCGACGAGGGTAACATTGGGCCTTCGGGTCAGGCTGGGGTGGTTCGGTGGTTGGTGAGAAACGCAGGGGGCAGAATGATAGCTACATGTTAAAGAAGTGATAGCAGCAATTCATTTTTGAAGACGATCTACCTTCCAAGCGTGTAGATGTTCCACATACTCCAACCCATGGCCGTACAAATAGAAGAAACCTGAACCGAACGCCCTGTTCTGGGAAGGAGTTGCCCACCATCCGTGTAACTGTTGCACGTGTTGGACTTTCCTCAGTGTTCTAGGGCTTGGCAGAACCTCAACAAATTCACTTTTGGAAGCTGTTGAAGCGAATGCGCGCGCCGCAAAGGCAAGACCTGCACTTAACCCCCCTCCATTCATGGAGCCCACACATACAATTTGAAAATCAATACGCGCGTCGCTGCAAGCGAGAACCACGCTGTGAAAACCGCTGGCCCTCCATCTTTTGGATGCTTTTGAAACACATGGCCGATTCTGTAACCCTGAACTCAAAAACGTTTTCATCTCTTGGGGGTGCATCTTTTGCTTCCGCCGCCTTCCGCCGGCCTTCCGCCGGCCTTCCGCCGGCTTCCGCCGGCGGAGGCGGCCTCGTTGTACTTCCGCCGCCTTCCGCCGACCTTCCACCGCCTTCCGCTGAGGAACAGCTGCCAACTCCTGTAACCCTCGAAGGCAAAGCCGTTTTTGGAACGCCTCACGTGACCGCGGCGCTACCCCGAGAAACACTTTTCGAAAGCAGCCTTACCTCCGTCCTTGTTCTCCTCCTCCTCCTCCTCCTCCTCCTCCACCTCCTCCTCCTCCTCCTCCTCCTCCTCCTCCTCCTCCTCCTCCTCCTCCCTCCCCCCCTCCTCCTCCTCCTCCTCCTCCTCCTCCTCCTCCTTCCTCCTTCTCCTCCTCCTCCTCCTCCTCCTCGTCCCTGCTCCTCCTCCACTTCCTCCTCCTCCTCCTCGCCTTTCGCTCCTCCTCCTCTCCTCTTCCTTCCTCCTCCTCCTCCCCTCTTCCTCCTCCTCCTCCTCGTCCTCCTCCTCCTCCTCCTCCTCGTCCTCCTCCTCCTCCTCCTCCTCCTCTCTTCTCCTCCTCCTCCTCCTCCTCCTCCTCCTCCTCCTCCTCCTCCTTGGCGTGAGGACTATGAATGTTTAAGAAGTGTCCAGCGAAGCGCCGCGCCCAGACAACGGACTCGCCTGGTGGTGCGACAGGGCGACAGCGTTCATAAAGGAGCATGCGCAGAGGAGAAGGGAGGGGGAGAGGGGGGAGAAGGAGGAGTACTAGGGAGAAAGAGGAGGAGGATTGCGACGAGGACGAGATGGAGGAATAGGAGAGGATTATGAATAGGAGGAGGAGGATCAGGAGGAGGATGAGGACTTAAAGGCGGAGTAGGATGAGGACGAGGAGGAGGAGGGAGCAGGGCAGGGCCGAGCGGCTTGAGCTGGCGGCTGCGGAACCCATGTTGCAAAGGTTTCCTGGCGATGCTCGACAGTTCTGTGACATGTCTACCACGGTTTTCGAAAATAGCTGCGGAATCGATGTCCCCAATCAGTGCTAGCACTGAAGGGGCCCCTATCGATGTTGAAGGATTTGGTCAAAGTTGCGGCCGATGTTGGTGGGCGGCTGGGTCAAGGAGTTGGCGAACGATTTGAATTGGCGGCTGGGATCGCAGGCTCCGGGGTTCCTGGTTGTGTGCCATAATTGAAGGAGTCGGTTCCGATCCAGCGCCCAAGCGAAGCCCGTACAATTCTGCTCCAGCCAAGCATGCGGCTGCATGCGGGCATGCAGCGCAAGCGTGAGCAAGATTGGGTAATCGAGCGAACCACTCGAAATCCGTCTGGAGCACGCAGAATTAGCAAGTTGGCATCGGCGCAGGGGAGAGCATAACAGAACATGAGCCCTGCGTCATGAGGCTTTCGCCACCTTCGCAGGCCCTTGTCGCACAATCGTTCGTGTACTGTGTCGTGTAGGTTGGCCGTGTTTTTGCATGGGGGCGCGGCTCCTACGCCAGAAGGGCGCACGCACTGCTGCGTAGAGGGGCCACATCCTGTCCCTACGACAGTCCAGTAAAAGGTCCAAGCGCTTCAACAGCTATTGCAGCACTGAAAAAGCCAGCAGAGGGTCCCGGTCCAACTCCAATCGACCAAAGTGTTGGTTTGAGAAGGGGCGGGCCCAACGATGTGGTATAATCCGCCGTCGTGCTTGCACGGAGTGGGCGTGGTAGAATGATTGCTGTTGTCCAGGAGGTTGTTTGATGTTTTCTAGGGCCGCCCCCCCCCCTCCTCGCAGAGGGGGTCTTGAGACACCCCCCTCTGAAATTGCTCTCCGGCGGTTTTCGACTTCCAAGCGGGCAAGACGGCCTCCAAAACGGCTTCCAAAGCAGTCAAGATGACACCAGGACGGCCCACGATGGCCCAAGACGGCTCAAGAGGCTCCCAAGACGGCCTCAAGGCAGCTCAGGAGGCCCCCCCAGACGGCCCAAGAGGGCTCCAAGAGGCCTTCCAAGAGCGCACGAGGAAGCAAAAAAGCATTGCTGATCCAAGAGGCTCGCGAGAAGGCCTCAAGACGGCCCTGCAGCGTGCCTAGGAGAGGTACCACGCCCGCTCCTGCGACAGATGCTCTGCGGCATGGCCCCAAGGTGCCTTCTAGAACTCCCACGAAGAGCCCCAGAGACCCCCAAGAAGGCCCCAACAGAGCCCCGAGACCTCCTAACAGAGCCCGAAGAGGACCTCAAAACCGTCTCTGGCGCCGTCCTGGCCCCCCACCCTCCCACGAATTCCATGATCCAAACATGGTTGGGCGGCGGTATCTGCCCCCCTCAGGGGCGTTCAATTGAATAAACAATCTCCTCCGCATCGCCGCCGAGCGCCCACCACAGGCAGGTGCAGCTGCCAGACATCGCGAACACCTTCGTGACGCCCGGCTGCGCGCACTTGCAGTACTGCTCCCGGTGCGGGGCCGCCCAGCCCGGCCGGCACGACGTCGCACGAGAAGTGGGAGAGCGAGACGATCTTGTTGGCGCCGTGCACCCTGGCCGCCTCCGGGCGCCAGAGGCAGGCCCGTCAGGAGCAAGGTGCGGGTTGGGTCGGGCATGTCCCCCTACAGGCGGAGCTTGGGCGAGAAACAAGAAATACCCCAAAAATAGCCCCCAGATGGCGAAACATACTAGAAAAAAATCGCTCCCATACTATGTTTTACTATTTTTGAACATTCCTCCTGCAGAGGGAAAACCTTGGCCTCCTCGCGCGCCAGAGGCAGGCCCGTCAGCAGCACGGCGGGGGCCGTGGCAGCCGCCGCAGGCGGCTGCGCGCGTGCCACACCCGAGGGGCCGCGTGCGGGGCGCTGCCGGGCTCGTCCGCTGTCCGCGGGGCCGAGGAAGGCCGCCTGCTCGGGGTCTTCGGCGGCAGAGGCCTGCTGTCCACCACACCACCACCATCATAAGTTGGAGGGGGAGGGGGTCCTCCTCCTCCTCCTCCTGCTCCTCCACCTCCTCCTCCTCCACCTCCTCCACCTCCTCCTCCTCCTCCTCCACCTCCTCCTCCTCCTCCTCCTCCTCCTCGTCCTCCTCCTCTTCGTCCTCCACCTCCTTCCCCCCTCCAACTTAGGGTGGTGGTGGTGGAAAACAAGCTCGGGGTCTTCGGCGGCAGAGACCATGCTGGCGCGGAGGCGCCCACGCGAAGGCGAGGTTTTTTTGAGCAGGGACCGACCGTCCCGGCATTCATAGAGTCCTACCACGAAATTTTCTTAGAACCCAAAAATGTTCTGATAGCAAAAGCCATGCTCTTAGAACATCAACCCGATGTGATAAAACAAGATAGTCCCAGAACATTTCGTGGGAACCACAAGAGGTTCTTAGAACATTGTTTGGTAGGCCTGTAGGCACGCCAGGACGCTTCGCCACTGCTTGAGCTTTGAGGCCCGAGGCTTTGAAGCGATACGCCCTGGGCCAAGAGGGCTGCGGCTTCTCGGGCCGTCTCGGGGCGCCTCGCAACAGTTCGGGCTTTTGCAACAGCACGCGGAGCGGAACCTCCCGACATAAACAAGCCAGTCGCAACGTGATTGACACACCAAATGCACTCTCGCTGTCGGGAACGTCTCTTGGAGCTTGTTCGAGGTTCTCGTGGAGCCTTTCCTACACAGACGGGAGGCTGCTCCGCAGTGGCTGAATGGCGAAGCTGCGCCGACAAAGCAGGCTGAACTCGGCAAGCAGCCATGGCACGCGGGCACGGAAGCTGCGACAAAGCCAGAAATCCACTGATTTGTCGCTGCTACTGAATAATGATATGTGGTATGTGTTCGAACGTGGCCGATGGTTTCCGCAAATGCTATGCAATATTCGGACAATCTCGCAGGCTGTCGACAGTTCTCGGAGGTTCTCGGAGTCTACCAGATTCTGGGGGTCGTCGTCGCCGTCGCCGAAGACGTGGGCGCCGTCGTCGTCGCCCTCGCCGTCGCCACCGCCACCGCCGTAGTCGTCATCATCGTCGTCGGCAGCGTTGTCGTCGTCGTCGCTCTCCTCATCATAACTCTTGCATATATCCACCCATCTGTCCTTCCTTCGCCTTCCCCCCGTTCGCCGCCTCGCTCAACATCCCCCTTATCGTTCTCCTCCTTCTCCTGCTCGATCCGTCTTTTTCGCAAATAACTCCTCACTGCCGCACCACCAGACGTGTCGGTAGGACGGACCAGGCGTTTCGCCTGAAAGTTCCTCACAATGTATGGTCCACCAGCTAAGCAATGTGCAGCAGCTTCACGGATGAAGGGCGGGCAATCTTCAAAATGTGGGTCTCGCCTGAGCGCCGGGCATTTTCGTTGTAAAAGTGTGCAGCACTTTAATGGATGTGGGGCGCTTTTCCTTATCATAATGTGGCTCTCGAGTTAGCGCCGCGCACATTCGTCTTACAAGTTCACAGCAGTTGCAAACAAGGACGGCGGTTCCTTTTCAACATGTGTCTCTAGTCTACGCGCCGCTCGCATTCGTCCAAGGTCCAAGGCCCGTATTGTTGAAACCCTACGAATGACGTTCTGGCACGGGTCGGGATTGTCCGGACGCAGCAGTCACGCTGATTCGCTGTGCTGAAGTCGCAGGATTGGTCATCTGGCTCGATTCAGGGCTGCCAGTACGCAACGGTCACATTGATTCGCGACGGTGAAAACCCAGGAATTGCGTTCTGGCGCAGTGGAAAATTCTCGAACGGATGCAGAGGAGGATACCGATGACGGAGGGGTGATACGCAGGACGAGGAGGAAGAGGAGGAGGAGGAGGAGAAGGAGGAGGCGGAGGACGAGGAGGAGGAGGAGGAGGAGGCGAAGGAGGAGGAGGAGGAATTGGAGGAGGAGCGGAGAGAGGAGGAGGAGGAGGAGGAGGCGAAGAGGAGGAGGGCGGAGGCGGAGGAGGCGGAGGAGGAAGGAGGAGGAGGAGGAGGATGAGGAGGAGGAGGAGGAGGAGGAGAAGAGGCCCGCGCCGATCCCCTGGCCCCTGCGAGGCCCGGCCTGCTCGAGGGCTCCCCGCACCGTCCGCATCGCGGTCCCGTGCTTGCACCTCGGCAGGCCGCACCGCCGGGGGGGGGGGGGGACTCCGCGCGGACCCAGGGGCAAAGGTGGTCGTTCCTCCTCTCGTATCCTCTCCTCCTCCTTCCTTCCTTCTCTCTACTCTCCTGACTCCTCTCGCTCTCTCAGCGCCTCGCCTCGGCGTCCTGCTCCTCTCCCTCCTCCTATCCCCGCCTCCTCTCACCTCATTCATTCATCACTCATCTTCATCCTCATCTTCATTACGCTGTCCCATCCTCATCCTCATCCTCAGTGCGATCAAGCCTCTTCCTACAATCCTCATCTCATCCTCATCTCATCATCATTCCTCATCACCCAACCAGGCATCGAGGATCATCAGCATCATCATCAAGCAATCAGCATCATCATCAGTCATCATCATAATCATTCATCATCATCATCTATCATCCTTCATTCATCATCTATCATTGTGTAGATATCACTACTTCATAATCATCATCATATTCGATCATCATCATCATCATCTATACATCATCATCATCTGATCACATCATCATCGTGCATCATCATCGTCATCATCTATCGTCATTCCATCATCATCATCATCATCGATCATCCTCATCATAATCATCATCTATCATCTATCATGTATTCATTTCTTATTCGTTTCCTCCTCTCCCTCCTCCTCCGCGGGCGGCCCCCGCCGCCCCTCCGGCTGAGGAGGAGGAGGAGTTTTTTTTTTTTTTTTTTTTTTGCGGAGGAGGAGGCGGAGGAGGAGGAGGAGTGAGGAGGAGGGTTGAGGAGTTGGAGGATTGTGGGAGGATGTTGGAGGAGGAGGAGGAGGAAGGAGGAGGAGGAGGAGGAGGAGTTAGCAGAGGGAGGAGGAGGGAGAGGAGTTGGAGGAGGAGAGAGGAGGAGGAGAGGTAGGAGGAGGAGGAGAGGCGGAGCGGGGAGGAGGGGGATGAGGAGGTAGGAGGTAGGAGGAGGAGGAGGAGGAGGAGGAGGAGGAGAAGGAGGAGGAGTTGGAGGAGTTGGAGGAGGAGGAGGAGGAGGAGGAGGAGGAGGAACTTGTCCTGCGTGGACTGGGACGCGTGGACGGCTCCGATCCCACGCGGCGAGCGGCGAGCCCCACGGGTTAGCACCGCTTCCTGCACTGGCCTCGGAGGGACTGCCCGCCTCCGCGGCGCAGGAAGCCGGTGGTGGCGGGCGGTGGCATGGCAGCCCATGCGCGCTCGGCTCTGACTCTTATGGGCGATTTCGGGAACACTGAACCCAAAAACGTTTCATCTCTTGGGGGCACATCTTTTACTTCCGCCGCCTTCCGCTGAGCTTCCGCCGGCTTCCCCTGGCGGAGGCGGCCTCGTAATACTTTCCGCCGACCTTCCGCCGAGGAAGAGATGACATCTCTGTCTATCCTCAAATGCAAGGTCACTTTTGCAACGCCTCTTGTGTGTGGTGTGTGTATGTGCGGAAATCCTCGGGGGGAAATGGGAGACGCCTCGGAAAGGTAGCACTCACAAGCGAAGTCAGTGTGCAAGGCCTCCTTCCGGAGAACGGAGGGAGGACCGGGGGAAACTGGGGAGGCCCTCCACAGGCAGCCCCACCCGAACCCGGAACCACAATCTCCGGCCCCACGCATCGAGCTTCCAGGTCCACAGCCCCCGCCAGTGCCTCAACGGGTGGAGGGACTACCAGCATCAGCGACGCGGGGCCGGCATCTGCGAGCGAGCAGTCGATCGGGCGCGCCGCTCGTGCCGAGGCCCTGCCCGTTGTCGGGTGGTGCGGCTGGCGCCTCAGCGCCGCATGATGTAGCTGGACGACGCGGAGGAGGGGAAAGGGGGGAAGAGGAGGAGGGGGAAGATGAGGAGGTGGAGGAGGAGGTGGAGGAGGAGGAGGAGGAGGAAGGCGGAGGAGGAGGAGGAGGAGGAGGAGGAGGAGGAGGAGGAGGGAGCGCAGGAGGGAAGGGAGGAGGAGGAGGAGGAGGGGGAGGCGGAGGCGGCGGAGGAGGAGGAGGAGGCGGCGGAGGAGGAGGAGAAGGAACGAGCCAGCGTTCTCGAACACCGCCGCCAAGCGGCAGCACCACCCTCGCCCTGCTCGGTCACCACCGCGTCGGGGCGGCGCGGAGCTCCACGTCTCGGGGGTTCTCAGGCCCCCGTCCGCCGCGGAGGCGATCGTTTGGTGAGTGTTCTTCCAGTCGGGGGCTGGTGATCTCCTGCCTCCCTCCTCGCGCGTGGCTGAAACAAATAAGGTTGTACTTATCGATCTGGGCGCCAATTTTTCGCGGGGGTCATGCTTCTTGCTAGTCCGCCGACCCTGTCGGCATGTGTGAAAGGCTTTTCCGTTTGAGTCGTCGCTTTCATTGCCGTTGTCGCAGTCACCGCTACCCCCTTTCTCTGTCCGTGTCTTGAAGCGTCACAGCCAAGAGAAGTCGAACAGCTTCGGAATCGAGTCGAACGGAAACCCTTTTTGTTGATCCGTTCCCCGCCGGGGGGGGGGACTGGCGTTGGGGGGGATCCCGGGTGTTGTGACCCCCCCGTCGGGGAGCACCGCTCCCTGGGAGAAGTTTTCCCCTTCGATTCCTTCCCTCACAGACGCCGCGGGGGCTCCCCCTTCAAGGCCGGCGGCACCGGCTGCAGGGCCGTCGCAGTCTTTCCTGTGTCGTTCCACGTGCATTGGAGGAAGGACCCCCGAAAGGGCCCCCATCCCCTTCCTCCCTCCCCTCTCCTCCCTCCCTCCTCCGTCCTGCCCCCCCCCCTCGCCCCCCCCCCCCTCCCCCCCCCCCGCCGGCAAGCCGGCAGGACCCCGCGCTGGAGGCGTGAGTGGGGGGCTCGCTGGGGGCTCCTTCCCGAAGCGGAGGGCGGGAGGGGAGAGGGAGGGGCGGAGGGAGCACCAGGCACGGCGGAGGAGGGATGGGGATGGGGATGGGGATGGGGATCGGTTGAACGGTACCGAGCATGGGCCAGACCAAGATCGGCGTCAGCGCGCGGATCCTCGCCTCCGACGTCGCATGTCCTTCGTGGCGTGCCCCTCCCCCACCCCACCCCACCCCACGGGCGTCTCCACCCCAAGCCCCCGGGCGCGGGCCTTTCAAGTACGAGCTCTTCCCCGAATGCCCCGGGGGAAGAGGAGGAGGAGGAGGAGGAGGAGGACGAGGAGGAGGAGGAGGAGGAGGAGGAAGAGGAGGAGCAGGAGGCGGGGGGGATGGCAGCATCCTTGGGTGGATCATTGCCACAATCGTCAGCGTCCAGTGCTCATGAGGAAGAGGAGGAGGAAGAATATAGGGGAAGGAGGGGCAGGAGGAGGGGGAGAAGGATAAGGAGGGAGACGAGAGAAGCACCCTGGGAGGCCTGGACATGGGCACCAACACCAACACAGGGTGGCTGCCTCCACGGGAGGAAGATGATCCTGGATGTTGGTGTTGGTGGTAATCTTTCGGCCACCTAAAAGCCCGAATCTTACCACCATCACCGAGATCAGGATCATCTTCCCTCGGTGGAAGCACACCGTCGACTTTGGGGTCGGTGTCAACCTCTGGGCCTGCGACACCCCCCCAAGACCAGAGAGGGCGAAAGAAGGGGGCGACGAGGAGGCTAGCAGGGGGGAAACGGGTCCTGAGGGCAACGGGTCCTGGACCCCGCGGCCCGCGCAGAGACGTGCTGGTACTAGGTGTCCTCCTTGGAGGCGCGCGGCTGATCCGAACATCTAGTACTCCCATACTGTAATCTGTCGTTTCCCGAGCGGTGTGGCCAGAAAGCGCCCGCGAAGACGCGTATTATATAGGACTAGAACCACGCGCGCGCTTCGCGCGCGCTTAGGTTCTGTCGAGTCACAGACCCAGGAATCGTTGTGAGAAGAAATTGGTGACGCGAAGCGTCGTGGGGGCGTCCTTGGACGTCTGGGGTCTCCTGGGGCCTCTTGAGGGGCCTCCTTGGGGCCTCCTGGTGGCCTCTTGGGGCGGAAGGCTCGAGCTTGCGGTTCGTGGTCCCCCTCTGGGCCCCCTCTTGGGCCCGTCTTGGGGCCCTCTTGGGCCATCTTGGGCACCTCTTGGGCCGTCTTGGGGCCCTCTTGGGCTGTCCTGGGGCCCTCTTGGAAGCTTCTTGGGCCGTCTTGGGGCGGTCTTGGGCGCCTCTTGGGCCGTCCTGTAACGTCGGAAAGCCCAAAAGGCGACTTTGTTGAAAATGTACGTTTTACGAAGGGAATGGGCAAATTTTTGCGTCTAGGGGCCCTCTTGGGACGCATGTTGGAGGCTTCTTGGGGCCTCTTGGGGGCGTCCTTGGACGTCTGGGGTCTCCTGGGGCCTCTTGAGGGGCCTCCTGGGGGCCTCCTGGCGGCCTCTTGGGGCGGAAGGCTCGAGCTTGCGGTTCGTGGTCCCCCTCTGGGCCCCCTCTTGGGCCCGTCTTGGGGCCCTCTTGGGCCATCTTGGGCGCCTCTTGGGCCGTCTTGGGGCCCTCTTGGGCTGTCCTGGGGCCCTCTTGGAAGCTTCTTGGGCCGTCTTGGGGCGGTCTTGGGCGCCTCTTGGGCCGTCCTGTAACGTCGGAAAGCCCAAAAGACAACTTTGTTGAAAATGTACGTTTTACGAAGGGAATGGGCAAATTTTGCGTCTAGGGGCCCTCTTGGGACGCATGTTGGAGGCTTCTTGGGGCGTCTTGGGGGCGTCCTTGGACGTCTGGGGTCTCCTGGGGCCTCTTGAGGGGCCTCCTGGGGGCCTCCTGGCGGCCTCTTGGGGCGGAAGGCTCGAGCTTGCGGTTCGTGGTCCCCCTCTGGGCCCCCTCTTGGGCCCGTCTTGGGGCCCTCTTGGGCCATCTTGGGCGCCTCTTGGGCCGTCTTGGGGCCCTCTTGGGCTGTCCTGGGGCCCTCTTGGGAAGCTTCTTGGGCCGTCTTGGGGCGGTCTTGGGCGCCTCTTGGGCCGTCCTGTAACGTCGGAAAGCCCAAAAGACAACTTTGTTGAAAATGTACGTTTTACGAAGGGAATGGGCCAATTTTTGCGTCTAGGGGCCCTCTTGGGACGCATGTTGGAGGCTTCTTGGGGCGTCTTGGGGGGCGTCCTTGGACGTCTGGAGGCCATCTTCAGCATCTCGGAGCCCTCTTGGAGGCCTCTTGGAAGTTTCTTGGGCCGTCTTGGGCGTTTCTGGGGCCGTCTTGTCTGACCGGGGAGGCCTCCGGCAAGCCCCGACGAGCCTCCGGGCCCCCCGGGGTGCACATTTGCGGTCGAGGTCCCGGCCCCGGGCCCCCGGACCCGGTGCGCCGTTATATGTATATGTCTCGGTGCGCGCGTCGCCCCAAGGGGGGCGACGCAGACATAATACCAGTATGTTGGGTGGCGCCGACCTTCCCCCAGGACGAGTTCTTCATCCTCAATCGTTTTCCGATGGCCCTGGGGCCCGTGGAGGGCCCTGGGAAGCCAACAACAAAACCAGCGACGAAACAAAAAACTTTGGAACCCACTTCCCTTCAAGCCCGCTTCCCCCACGGCGAAGGGTAGGAGAAGGATGCTGCTGATGATGATGATGATGATGATGATGATGATGATGATGATGATGATGATGATGATGATGATGATGAGGAGGATGAGGATGAGGATGAGGATGAGGAGGATGAGGAGGATGAGGAGGATGAGGAGGATGAGGAGGAGGAGGAGGACGAGGAGGAGGAGGAGGAGGTGGAGGAGGTGGAGGAGGAGGAGGAGGAGGAGGAGGAGGAGGAGAAGAGGAGGAGGAGGTGGACGAGGAGGGAAGAGGAGGGGAGGGAGGAGGAGAGGAGGAGAGGAGGAGGAGGAGGAGGAGGAGGAGAGGGAGGAGGAGAGAACGGCCCCTCCTGGCCAGATCGAGCGCGAAGCACGCGCCGAAGGTCCCCGAGGGCCGCCGCGCAGCCGCCGAGGGCTGCCGGGTGGGGGGTCGCCGAGGGCGGCTGGCGCCCGCAGCGGGGTGCCGCCGCGGGGCCGTCGAGTGCGGCGCCTTGCCGGCTCGTCCGGGGTGGGCACCCCGAAGAGGACGCACAGGGCGGCGTGCGCGCTGGCGGGGGGGGGGCGCAGGCGGCGAGAGGAGGAGGAGGAGGAGGAGAGGAGGAGGAGGTAGGAGGAGGAGAGGAGAGGAGGAGGAGGAGGAGGAGGAGGAGGAGGAGGAGGAGCGTTTTATTTCGAGAGGAGGCCATGACTCCCGGAACCTCAGCAAGAGCGGGGGCCCATGCCGCAGCGGGACGACGTTTGAAAGGCCAGCCTCCGGGCAGAACTATCGTCGCCGCAGGCTGTGCTCCTTGCCCACGTGTTTCCAGGCCCTTACCCTCCTTGCCAGGTTCTGTCGTCCAGAGGTCCCAGTCTGTCGCGCAGCAACGAGCACTCGACTCGGCACTCACATCGCCAGGCTCAGGAGAGGCACGCCCAGGCTCACGACGAACCTCACCCTCGGGCTCCCTGCGAGCCCCCACCAGGCTCTCGACGTACATCCCCAGGCTCCCGACGACGATCCTCAGGGCCCCGACGAACACCAGCGGGCTCGAGACGCACATCCGCAGGCGCACAGAGAACATCATCAGACCCACAGCGAGCGGGAGGAGCTGCATCATTTTCGGGACCAGGCCTCAGGGAGGGGACAGCCAGGCCCGCGACGTGCGCCAACTGGCTCGCGAAGTTCGTCATCAGGCTCACGATGTTCGTAGTCGAACGTTTGGTGCGGGCCGAAGAAGCGTGGAACGACGGCTCTCACTCCATGTTTGTCATCAGGCTCATCGCGTGGAACACCTATCGCGGGAGCGACCCTACCAGGCCCACGACGTACATTATCACCAGGCTGACGACGTACCTCGGCAGGCTCACGATGACCGTCATCAGGCTCCAGACGTGCCACGACCTGCACGCGACGAACATCATCCTGCTCTCGACGTCCGTCACAAGGCTCGCAATGTCCATCGGCAGGCGCAGGAGGAACACAGTCAACCCGTAGAGTAAGGATGCGCGATAAGGATGCGGGGCCCTTGGGCGCCCATTTCGAAGCTTTTCGAGCAGGGCGCGGCCAACGAGAGTGGTCAAGGATAGGCCGAAGAGGCAAGGATGCGAGGGTACCCTTGGGAAGGTCGCCCATCCTTGCTCTGCGGGTTGACTGCAAGATCCGACCCGCGACGAGGGCACACGGCACCATTGTCGGGAGGGAGACGCCCAAGCTCACTGCACACAGCACCAGGCTCCCCAAGTGCGGCGCACGGCCCAGTGCGCTCCCCACGCGCCCCAGGGAGCGGGGCACGGAGGCCGACCCGCACAGCACCAGGCTCAGGAAGGCCACGAACAGGCGCACCCAGATCAGCAACGGAGCATCGTTCAACCGATCCCTGTCCCCACTGGTGCGGCCTGGGCCCACTGGCCGACTTATCCCCCTAGATGGGGATACAGGCTGTTTTCCTAGGGCTTCGAGGGGTCTATCCCCGACTGGAGGGGTGGGATGCTGGGGTCGAGATGGGGATGGGCATGGGGATGGGGATCGGTCACTGCACCGACCTTGCGGACGTGCTGCAGCGGATTTCTGCATGGATTTCTGCCAATGCAGAACCCCGAAACGGCGAGTGAAAAACGACATGAGCTTCGCGTGGATTTGTTTTAGTCTTCATGCCTGTCCCCAAAAAATCCGCGCGAAATTCACCTCGAAATCCGGAACGACATTCTCCAGAACACTCCGGGCCCATCCTGTCATCTTCCGAACGAAATCCGCTCTGCGATGTTGGCGCCATGACATCGGTTTAACGATACTGAGCAATCAGCTCCGGACGTCCCCCACCTCGGGGATCTGCTGACCCGGGTCAATCCAGACCAGGGCCAGGCAGGCCTTGCAACACCCTGCAAATCCTGCAAGATCCTGCGCGCAAACCCGGGTCAATGCGAAGGATCCTGCAAGATCCTGTAGGAGCCTGCGCCCAAGCCAGGGTCAGTGCGACCCTGTCCCTGCTGGATCCTGCAAGATCTGGCGCTCTGGCTGGCCCCCGTTTGCACCGACCCCCGTCTCAAGGCTCCCGAGCACCGTCCACCGGAAGAGCGCCAGTAGGCTCGCAGAACGAGCGCAGCCTGGGGTTCCCGCGGGACTGGGGCCCGGCTCTCGCGGCGTGCACCTGCAGGCCCGAGGAGCGCCCCGCAAGCTGCAGGGGGCACCCCCATCCCCATGCCCATCCCCATCTCGACCCCAGCATCCCACCACCTCAGTTGGGGGTATACCCCTCGAAATCCAAGGAAAACAACCTGTATCCCCATCTAGGGGGATATCGGCCAGTGGGCCCAGGCCACACCAGAGGGGACAGGGATCGGTTAAACGATGCTCCATTGCTGCAGGTCCACCAGGAGGATCGCCATGCTCCCGAAGCGCACCGTCGTGCAACGCACTGCGTGCTCTCCTGCGCAAGGGTCGCCATCGCCGCCAGGGCAGTCACCGCGCGAGAAATTCATATCGTCGCTGATCTCGCTGTGAGCGGGGAGTGGGACTCTCGCGACCAGGCTCAGCCTTGTCGCACTCCACCAAACCAAGCCCGTCTCGAACGCCCGGCCAGGGGGTCGGGGACTGCATCCGCCACCGCGCCGAGACACATGGCGAGCACCTTGTCCGAGTACAACACTGGAAGGCACGGCACAACTTCCTTGGCAGAGCCCCGAAGAGAAGACCGCGGAGCCACTCCAGCTGACGACGTAGGCCTCCAGCGCTGGCGCCGAGCCGCATTCGCACGTCGAGCGATGCCGTTCACCTCCTCGAATACCGTGCCAGAGACGATGCCGCGTTCCGCAGACCACCGAACCGCTTCATGAAGCGAACGACGATGTGGGGCACCGTGTGAAGCCTTCAGCCCAAACTGAAGCAGAACGCCACGCCGAAGATCCTGAACTCGCCGATGAACCCCATCATGGGGAGCGCCGTAAGGGATCACTCCGCGATGGCAGGCCCTGGGCGTGATGGAATCGCATGCGGTGTTGAACCCCGCACAAGACTGTGTCGAAGCGTGATTCCGCCGGCAGTGGACACGAAGTGCGCCCAAGGCAAAGTTGAGAGACGTCGACGCTGGCCACGATGACAAGCAGACCAGATCCTGCCGATTGAGGAAGAAGAAGAAGAAGAACAAGAAGAATAATAATCAACAACACATTACAAGAAGGATAATAATAAGAAGAAGAAGGAGGAGAAGAAGAAGAAGAGGGCACTGATGGGATGGCACCAACGAGAAACACGCAGCTCGATCCCATTCAGAGCATGGAAGGCATGGCCATGGGGAGTGGGCGCGGCAGGGCCGAAAGGCATGAGAGGGAGAACTGGAACGGGAATGGCTTGAGCCAAAATTGCGACGGAAGGGGGGAGAGGAGGAGGAGGAGGAGGAGGAGGAGGAGGAGCAGCAGCAGGACAAGGAAGAGAAGGGCGAAAAGGAGGAGGAGAGGACTTCAAAGGGCAGAACAGGATGTTCCACACATCGGGATATAACCATATATACATACATATATACATATATATATATATATATATATGATAGATTGCCCAATCGCTGTCGCTGCTGCGTTGTCGTCACTCCTCTCTGTCCTGCTCTATATCGACCTCATCTCAGTGGGACTTCGACCTCCTGTTCTGATGAGTGATGCCCAGAACATGTAATGTCTCTGGCATCTGCATACTTGCGCTGGGTGGTCTGGAACTCATGCCCGAGGCAAACCATGCCCAAGTATTTCCAGGGCACCAATCGCGTGCGCTATAAACCAGCTAAATCCATCATGCGGCTCTTCTCGTGCAGTGTGTTGTTCGCACACGTAACTACGACCCTGTCCAAGAATCTCCATGGGAGCATCTTCTTGGTGAGTACGACCCCCTAGTCAGTCAAATCACGGGCGTGAGGGCGATTAGTCGTAGTAGGCGAGGGCTCCCCCTCGTCCTCCCTCCTGCATTCCCCTCCTCATCACGCCTCCTCCTCACCGCCCTCCTTTATCCACGTTTTTCTCTTCCTGTCTCCTCTATAATCCACCCTCATGCCTTCCTTCTCTTCATCATGCCTCCACTTCGTCACCAGCATGCCTCTGCTTCATCGTCCTCACTTCTCCACTTTGTCTATTTCCTGCCTACTTATCCTCCTACATCCTGCATGCCTCCCGCCACCTCGTCATCATCATCATCCCTATCCTTCACTGCTTCCTCCTCGTCCTCCTCCTCTTCCTCCACCTCCTCCATCTCCTCATCCTCCTCCCTCGTCTGGTCATCTCGCGCCCAAATCGCCACCCCCTGCACGGGACGCGCCAGGGTGTTCTGCAGCGCAAACATCGAAGTGGCAATGCGCTCAAGAGCCGTCCTGAAGAAACGTGGAGCCCAACGTCATCAGCAGCCGTGCTGCGACCCGGCTCACGTGCAGACGCCAGGACCTGCGCCTTACTCTCGCCCCTCCTCGGGCCCCTCCCCCCCCCTCGTCGCCCTGGCGAGCAGCAGCGCCAGCCAAAGGGGCACGGCTGCAAGAGCGCAGAGAGAGAGAGAGAGAGAGAGAGAGTGGCGGCGGCTGGCGCCCCCTCCCCCCCCCCAGGCGAGCCGCGCGAGAGCCCGCGCGGGCCGACGTCATCAGCTACAGGGTTGGGACAAGCTCGTGAGTGCGAGAAGGCAGAGCGGTGGCAGCAACCTCGGTCGCTAAGCTACCAAGTTGAAGGGCGTCGCTGTCATCAGCTACAGCGCTGGGATCAGGGAGTGCGAGGGCGAAGGGCGGCAAACGGCTCGGGCGCCATTCCGCGAGAAGCTGGAGACAGAGCTGGAGCCCAATGTCGTGCAGCGGGCGACGCATCAACTACAGAGCTGGAAGTAGCTCGTGAGAGAATGGCAGCAGCGAGCGACTGATCAGCTACAGCGAGAAGGGGGAGAGGTGGTTGGGCGTGAAGCGGTGCCAAACCCGCCCCACGACCCCTGCCGAAAGGCGGGCAATGCGGAGACGAGGTCTTGGTGCGAATGGCGGGCAGGCCCGCACTGCTGCTCTTGGGGGAAGTAGCTGGGGCAGCACGTTATCAACTACAGTTCGATATGCCCTCAGGGCTACGTATCATACAGTCGGGGCCTTGACCTAAGGAACCCTAAATAAGGAACGAGGCCCCTTTTTTCCCCTAAGTTAAACTTCGATTTCCCATGGAAAACCTAAGAGAAACTGCAACACAATCGAGGAACACCGAGCCCCTCCCCAACGAAAAGGGTTCCTTCTTCAGGGCCCCGACGGTAACCTACTGTGTCTGGCTCGGGGGCGGCCCGTAGCGTCTGGGAGGGGCGCTGGTGGCAGGCAGCCTGCCGCGCGTCTCTGCGTAATCTGAATCGCTCGGATCCGCCCGAATCCTTCCTCGCCTGGTCCAGCGGCAGCGGGCACCGACACGGTTCTCCCAGGGGCGGCGCCCATCTGCTCCCACTCCTCCCCCCTCTCTCCTCCTCCTCCTCCTCCCCCCCCTCTCCTTCTCCTCCTCCCCCCTCTCCTCCTCCTCCTCCTCTTCCTCCTCCTCCTCCTCTTCCTCCTCCTCCTCCTCCTCCTCCTCCTCCTCCTCCTTCTCCTCCTCCTCCTCCTCCTCCTCCTCCTCCTCCCACTCCTTCCCCCTCTCTCCAACTCCTCCTCAAGGCTCGGTCCGCCCTCCTCCCCTTTCCCCCTCCGTCCTCCCCCTATCGTCCTCCGCCCGCGCCTCCTGCCACATCATACCGCCCCACCGTCCTGATCCACCCTCCCGACGGCTCATGTGAGCCTTCCTTCTCCGACGGCTCCCGACGGCTCCCGGGGCTGAGCGACCAGCCTTCCTTCTCCGAATCCTGCACCCGCGGAGACGGCGGCGGCGGCGGCGGCAACGGCGGCAGAAGCTTCAAGGGCACCTAGCTTCGCGCTCCGCGCTGCGCGAAGCGCGAATCAAATTGCGCTCTCGCACCGCCCCCCAGGGGGAGAAGAGGATGATGGGGAGGAACCGGAGCCGAGTAGCGAAGCGCAAACAACTTCGCGCCCTCGAGGGCGTTCTTGGAGGTTTGCTGCCAAGGCGATGTCGTGATTTTTCCAATACGGTGTCCCTGGAAGTCTCGACCCATTCCCCAGGACCGGTTTTTCATCCTGAGTCGTTTTTTGACGGTCCAGGGGCCCAGCGAGGGCCCCTCGAGGCTGCAAAATACGAAAAACCTCCTACGTCCCGATTTGTTCAATACGTTGGATCGCTGGACGGCGGCCGCTGGCTTGGGCCTGTGCAGCAGCCAGGCGAGGCGCAACAACGTCTTGCTCGAACTGCCGGGGCCGAACGGAGGCAGCCCGTCGGGGAAGCGGAACCTGGGGTTCGGGGGCACCCCAAGGGAGAGAGAGAGAGAGAGAGACAGAGGGTGTGCATCTCACTCCTCCCTCCTCCTCCTCCTCCTCCTCCTCTTCTTCTTATTATTATTATTATGATGATTATTAGTATTCATATTATTCTTATGAGTATTATTATTAGTATGTGTCTGAGTATGCTTCTTCTTCTTCTTATTATTATTATTATCATTATTGTTATTATTATTCTTATGATTATTATTATTATTATTATTATTATTATTATTATTATTATTATTATTATTATCATTATTATCATTATTATTATTATTCGTAGTATTCGTATTATTATTCTTAGTATTATGTTTCTTATTATTCATCGTATTATCATTCGTATTCTTATTATTATTCTTAGTATTCGTATTATTCTTCTTCGTCTTCCTCTTCTTCTTCCTCCTCCTCCTCCACCTCCTCCTTCTCCCCCCCCTCCTCCTCCTCCTCCTCCTCCTCCTCCTCCTCCTCCTCCTCCTCCTCCTCCTCCTCCTCCCTCCTCCTCCTCCTCCTCCTCCTCCTCCTCCTCCTCCTCCTCCTCCTCCCCTCCTCCCCCTCCTCCTCCTCCCACTCCTCACTCCTCACTCCTCACTCCCACTCCTCACTCCTCCTCCTCACTCCTCACTCCTCACTCCTCACTCCTCACTCTCCTCCTCCTCCTCCTCCACTCCTCCCTCCTCCCTCCTCCCTCCTCCCTCCTCCCTCCTCCTCCTCCTCCTCCTCCTCTCTCCTCCTCCTCCTCCTCCTCCTCCTCCCTCCTCCTCCTCCTCCTCCTCTCCTCCTCCTCCTCCTCCCTCCTCCTCCTCCTCCTCTCCTGCTCCTTTCCTTATGGGAGCCTTTCCACATCCGCCTCCTCCTCGACCTCTCCTCCTCTTCTCCTCCTCCTCCTCCTTCTCCTCCTCCTCTCCTCCTCCCTCCTCCTCCCTCCTCCCTCCTCCTCCTCCTCCTCCACCTCCTCCTCCTCCTCCTCCTCCTCCTTGTCGTCTTCCTTCTCTTTCTCCACATCCGCCTCCTCCTCCACCTCCTCCTCCTCCTCCTTCTCCTCCTCCTCCTCCTCCTCTTCCTCCTTCCCTCCTCCCTGAACACCCCCAGCGAGGGGGTGCACGAGGAGGCGGTGAGATCGGAGGAGAGACGCGCGAGGGCCGGGGTGTGCAGGGGCGGGTGAGCAAAGAGGGCTCTCGGGAGGGGGGGGGGGCAAGAAGAGGAGGGGAAGGCAGCGGAGAGAGGCGGGAGGAGGAGGGCGACGGGAGGGAGACAACGGGGTGGGGGAGGGAAGGGGGACAGTGGACACGGTGGGGAGGGGAGGGGCGGGGGGGAGGGGACCGACGGGGGGGGACCACCAGCAGGGCTTCGAGAACCCCCCGGCCAGCATGCCGCCTCGCAGCGCCCGGCCCGATCTGGGCGCCCCCCCTGGCTTCGGTGCACGGGCTGCCCGGCGGGATCTAGGAGGCTCCCCTTTGTGTTGTCCACGGCCATACAGCCGAGCATGATGCTCGGCTGTATGTCCGTGGACACAACACGCGGCAAACCAAGCCTAGGAATGCTAGCCAATACAGCCGAGCATTATGCTCGGTTGTACATACAGCCGCGCAATATGCATTATGCCCCAAGCGGCCCATGCTTTCTTGATCTATGCTGCATATGCTCAAGAAAGCTGTACTTGAATAGATCTGGGCCAGCGTCCCACAAAGGTTCTGAAAGCAAACCTGGGCCAGTGTTTCGTGTTCGCGCCGGCGGGAACGACGGTGCTCAAGAAACTGGGCCGACTGTCCAGCAAGCTGGTCGAGAAAGGCTGGTCCAACTTGTCGGCAGGACATCTGGCGAGATGCGGGTAGGTAAACCCCGCCTAGCCCCAGCAGGACATGGAATCGCGGAAAGGGTCGGGGGATATACGAGTCCGAAGCTGGGACTCGACCAGAAGAAAGACATTGCTCCCCCCAAAGCCGTGGAAATCGTGTTATCTGGGTGTCGCTGTATGCGGGAAGCCGCGCACCACGCGAGGATACGACACTGGTGGCCCTGTGGATCGGGATCGAGTCCTTCATGCCTGCTCCCGACTCTCCTAGTCAATCTCCCTCCTCCCCTATTCTCCCTTGTCGTTCTGTTTACTCTTCTCCTCCTCTTCCTTCTCCTCCTCCTCCTCCGCCTCCGCCTCCGCCTCCTCCTGCGACGCTGCGACACGAAGCACCCAGCAGTCACCGAACAGAGGACCAGGGCACAGGCAAGAGCAAAGAAAGGCAAGGCGAGGAAAGGTAGAGTGGGCGATTCGACCTCCCAAGGAAAAGACCACACTGGGGCGAGCCCGAGGCAGGCCTCCCCAGGGAGAGCTGAGACCTGACCTGACCAACAGAGGCCCCGAAACCCAACAAGAACAACAACGCCTCTCAGCAATCATCCCGCCGCCTCGCCCTCCCTCCTCTCTCCTCCTCCCTCCTCCTCACTCCTCCTCTCTCCTTCTCCCTCCTCCTCCTCCTCCTCCTCCTCTCCTCTCTCCCTCCCTCCTCCTCCTCTCCTCCTCCTCCTCCTCGCCTCCGCCTCCGCCTCCGCCTCCTCCTCCTCCTCCTGCTCCTCCTCCTCCTCCTCCTCCTCCTCCTCCGCATCCTCCTCCTCCTCTTGCCCCACGCACGCGGGCTGCAGGATGACGTGGCCGACGTGCGCGGCGGGGCGTGCGCGGGTACAGGAGAGACGAGGGCTGGTATGTGCCTCTCGCGGCCATCTTGATTTCTGCTGCGCCCGCCAGGCGTATCTTGTCGGCCCACAGGCCTAAGTCAGCATTCGTGTTGTTTCACATGGACGCTACAGCCTTAACGCCAGAGTCCGCCCAACGGGAGGAGGAGGGGGGGAGGAGGAGGAGGAGGAGGAGGAGCAGGAGGAGGAGGAGGAGGAGGAGAAGGAGGAGGAGGAGGAAGAGGAGGAGGAGGAGGGGGAGGAGGAGGAGGAGGAGGAGGAGGAGGAGGGGAAGGTTGGGGCTTGCGGACGCCTGGTAACCGTACGGCCTCCTTCCCTACCTCTGAGGTCATCTCCAGACATGAAGGAGGCCGGGAGGAGGCACACGAGAGACCGCAAACGTTGCAAACAGTGCCATTCCGTGCCGCAGAGTGTGCCCTCCCCTGGCCCCTGGGGGAAATCCCCCCCAAAGAACAACAAACAAAGCTCCTGTGCCACGCCTGGCACTCCGAGACCCCCAGTGGGGTCTGGCGGTGGGGGTCCCACACCAACGAAGTCCAAACCTCCCTCGCTCCCAGCCGCAACGCCAGAGTGGCCGGAGAAGGGCGTCGATCTGGCTAAGCGAACGTCGGCTTGACGCCCTCCTGCGCCGTCACGTCCGTGTTCTGCACATCCTCTCTTTTCATCCCAGACCTCCCCCTCCCCCTTCCCCTCACCCCCCCTCCTCCTCTTCCTCCTCCTCCTCCTACTCCTCTTCCTCCTCCTCCTCCCTCCTCCTCCTCCTCCTCCTCCTCCTCCTCCTCCTCCTCCTCCTCCTCCTCCTCCTCCTCCTCCTCCTCCCAGACTCGGGCCGCTTGGTGGTGAAGTGTCAGTGTACAGTGACAAATCAGTTGCAAAGTGCACAACGTCGTGCTCCTCTGCAGTCCGCTACCGTGCCTGCACGGAGTGGGCGCGTTAATATGCCTACGGCGATGGTTCTGGATAAGGAAACCCTCGATGAGGAACCCCTCCTCGCGCGCATCCCTCGCAACTCGCCCCCCATGGCATTGCGCGTCGGCGCTCTTTTCGGCCTCCAAGCGGCCAGGGTGGTCTCCAAGACGATTTCCAAGGCAGTCAAGGTGATACCAAGACTGCCCAAGATGGCCCAACACGGCACAAGAGGCGCCCATGACGGCCTCAAAACAACTTAAGTGGCTCACGAAACGGCCCAATGGGGGCTCCAAGAGGCCCTCCAAGAGAGCCCGAGGAGGCCAAAACCATTGATTGTCCTTAGGTGTTTAAAACGATTTGGCGGAAGAGGTGCGCTCTCGACCCGCGAATCAAAACAAGTGTTTAAAAGATTCGGCGGTTCTCGCCAATTTGGTTTCCGACCGCCGAGAACGGCCCAAGGGGCTCCCAAGGTAGCTCCAAGACAGCCCACGCGGCCCCCAAGAGAGCCTCGAGTCGGCCCAGGAAGACCCCAAGATCGCCCAAGAGGCTCCGAAGAAGGTTCCAAGACGGCCATAAAGCGCTCCAAGAGGGCACAACTAGGCCCTCATACATAGCCCGAGGAGGCCAACACCATGGATCGTCACATGGGCTTCGAAGGATGTGGAAGTTCTTGCCTGTTTATTTTTCGACCGCCGAACACGGCCCAAGGGGCTTCCAGTATAGCTCCAGACAGATCATGAGGCCCCCAGGAGGGCCCCGAATCGGCCTGAGAGGATCACAAGATCGCCAGAGAGGCTCCCAAGAGGGTTTCAAGACGGCCCTACAGTCAGGTCGGGCATGTCCCCCTACAGCCGGATTTTGTACGAAAAATAAAAAATAGTCAAACAATAGCCCATAATGATCCACAAATAGTGGAAACATCGTACCATGACTAGTTTTTCATAGTATTTTTGAATATTCCTCCTGGAGAAGGACTTGCCCGACTGAACCCTACAGTGCGCTTCTCCCTCGAGTCCCACTGCGGCGTCAGGCGGATGTCGCCTCGAGGCGCCTTGCAGAGGCCGTCGCATGGGTCGTTCCAATCGCGGCGGCGGCGCCCGCGGTCAGCCCCCCAGCCGCGGGCGCTCTCCGTCGGAATGTGGCGCCAACAGGACGGGAGGGGGAGGAGGAGGAGGAGGAGGAGGAGGAGGAGGAGGAGGAGGAGGAGGACGGAGGAAGGAGGAGGAGGAGGAGGAGGAGGAGGAGGTGAGGGAGGAGGAGGCAGGAGGAGGAGGAGGAGGAGGAGGAGGAGGAGGAGGAGGAGGAGGAGGAAGAGAGGTGCTCCAGGAGGTCCTGGAGGGGGCCATCTGCACCGCCCGTGTCCCGGCTGGACCTCACGGCGGCCCCCTGGCGAACTGCGTGCGATGCCGAGGCGTCGGGAGGGGCGCACCCTGCGCCACTTCCCAGCCCAATAAGACCAATTTCCACCACCACCACCACCACCACCATAAGTTGGAGGGGAGGGGGAGGGGGAAGGGGAGGAGGAGGAGGAGGAGGAGGAGGAGGAGGAGGAGGAGGAGGAGGAGGAGCGGAGGAGGAGGAGGAGGAGGAGGAGGTGGTGGAGGAGGAGGAGGAGGAGGAGGAGGAGGAGGAGGAGGAGGAGGAGGAGGAGGAGGAGGACCCCCTCCCCCACCAACTTATGGTGGTGGTGGTGGAAAACAGGCCCATCACCTAGGGCGCCAGGCACGCTGGAGCTGGGCGTGGCGTCGCCATATACCTTCCTCGGGAAGGCGATGCAGGTACCGGGGTCCCAGCAGCGGGCGTCGGTCCTTTTGCCCTCCACGTCTGGCTCGGCGCTGGCCTGCTACTAGGCGACGCTTTGCGGCGCCTGGATGCAGCCGCCTGGCGTGGCCCACCATCGCGTGGGCGATAGCTTCGTCTTGGCGATCAGTCTTGCTGACTGCCAGGGGGTCCAGCGCGCGGTTCGCCAGCGCTGGGCATCCGGGCGGCGGGAGGGGGGACCCGCGTCTGGCAGCGCGGTGACCGAATCTGTCGTCGCCGAGGCCAAGTCGACGCGCGGCTCGCTCTGGAGGGGCAGCGGCGGGCGCGCTGGCCAGGTGGCGCCCGCCTGCAGAAGAGGACAGCGCTGGAAAGGGCCGGCTCCGAGCGTCAGTACGAAATCCCTGAGGAGCTCCTCGCTCGTGCACATGGGGAGCTTGGCGACTCCCGCTGGCAGGTCGGGCTGGCATCTGTCCCAGGCCGCGCGCTGCCCCCCCCCTGGCCCAATCGCAGGAGACCAAATGGGCAAGCATGAGCTGCTGGCAGGTCCCCGCCCAGCTCCACACGCCACGATCCAGGTGGCCAGCGTCCAGGACCGCACCGTCCTCCCACCATGACATGAGGAGTTGCCGCAGGAAGGGTTCCGCGAGCGCCGACGGGGCCGTTTTGCGGCCTTCCAGGTGCCGACTCAAGAAGCCGACCCAGTGCTGGTTGATGGCCAGGCCGTACACGTCGTTCATGTCTGATCGAGCTCATTTCTAACTGTGCTCGTTTCGATTTTTTCCTGGCCCCCTCGTGGCCAGGAAGAGGCCCAGGATAGCACAATTAGAAATGAACGGCCCCCCAAGAAATCAAGGAACTTTGGAAGAATTAGCAACGAACGGTGTGTACTTGCACCTCGCGCAGCCAACCACGTCGGCCAACTTCTTCGCCGACGCTTGCAGGACCCGGGAGGGGCTCTCCGGGGGCGGGTGGGCACTGGGCCGGCCGCGCAGGCGCCCGAGCCGTGGAGCCGCCGTCTGGCGGCAGGGGCGGCGGCTTTTCCAGGGGCCGGCAGGCTGAGGCGGCGGTGGGTGCCGGTGGACGGGTGGCTCCGCTGACCTGCCTCGCCGCGCCCGAGCAGGGGGGTCAGCGTTTGGGTTCCCGAGGGCCGAGGCGGCCCTGCGCCTGCGCCTAGGCGATCGCGGGGCACTGTCTCTTCGCGAGAAAGACGCATGGTGCCTCTCCTTCCACGCCGTCTCCAGCACAACCTTCGCTCTCTTCTCCCGCTCGGCGAGGGAGGTGAGTCGCTGCTTCACACTTGCCATGTCCAGGGGCACAAAGTATCCTGGAAATCGCTGGGTCGGGCCATGCGCTGGTCCAGGTCGTCGCCCTTGCCCTGTATGCTGGCGGCGGCAGGAGCTGCTTTGGCGTTCAGGGGGTTGGCGCCTGGCCTGGCCACAGGCGCTGCCTTGTCACGCGGCTGCGGCTTCCCCAGCCAGGATAGCGCGCACAACCGAATGCCGAGCTTCCCAGATATGGACGAGGCAGTCTGCGCAGTACCACTGGGCATTCCAAGTCTTCTCTCGGAAGGCACGAACCCAGTCGGGGTAGGCTGGAAGACCGCGCACCAGGTCCCGAATCGGCACGTCGCCCCCGCGATCTTCGCCCGGGCGGAAGGCGAACACGCCTTGCTTCCGTGCCAGGATGGGCGCAGCGGCCCGGCAGCCGTCGCACTTCCCCTTGTACCCCTTGCGCGAGGCATGCACGCCGAGGCGGTCATCTTCGGCCAGGCTCCGGGGGATGGTGGCGCCCATTGCAGCCGGGCTGGGGGGGCCCGTCTGCGGCAGGAGGGTGTCGGCCGAGCGGGCAGTGCGTGGCGGCCTCGCCACTCTGCGTCCGGCGGGGAGCGGGCGGCGCACGTGTCGCTCGCTCTGTGGCGGAGGCTGGCTGTCCAGGTTGCGCGGGAAGGCGGGGAGCCTGACGTCGTCTGACATCGGTTCTCCGCGGATGCCGCATGCGCCCCTCCAGCACCCGACGCAATGCCACAGGCAATTCCCCCCCGCCTGCAGGCTGTCTTCCTACTGGCCGCCAGGAACTGACGGATCTCGCTGTTGTCGGGCGCTGCAACCTTGAAAGGCTTTTTGCGATTGTAGGTGCATTATTTTGTGGAATTCGGCGCCCTGGCGCGAACGGCCGAAGGACCCATGACACGAGATACTTTGCTCACGCAGCCGCTCTCGGCTCAAATGTAGTTCAGACGGCAACAGCGCACTCTGAAGCTTTTTGTGTCTTCCCCACCTACTGTCCCCGCTCCGCCTCCGACGGCTAGGCACGGATCCTGGCGGGGGCCCGGGATGTTCATGGAGCTGGAGGAAAACAACCACGTCCTCTGCGTGCACTCTCTCCTGGAACGTGACCATCATGTACGACAACAAAGCATTGTGCGACATTTGCCACCGCACTCTGGACATCTAGCGTCCTACGTACACACAGCTGAACATGCTGCTGGCGCAGATCTTCTCCTCGCTGACTGCGTCGCCGCGCTACGCCCCGAACGTGGACATCGCCGAGTTCCAGACAAAGTTGGTGCCCTACCCGTGCATCCACTTCATGCTCTCGAGCTATGCACGCGGGAATTCTGCGGAGATGGCGTACCTAGTGCAGCTGTCTGTGGAGGCCATCACCATGTCCGTTTTGGAGCCCGCACCCATGTACGGGAAGTGTGACCCTAGTTACGGCAAGTACATGGCGTTTGGCATGATGCACCGCGGGGACATGTAAAAGAAGCTGTGGTATCAAGACCAAGCACACCATCAAATTCGTGGTTTGGCGGCAAAGGACTATTCTAGCTTCTGTTCGACACATCCCTGCGAACCTCTGGCTTCAACCTAGACGCGCCCGCGCAGGTCACAGGGCGCCGCAAATGAGGCACCGCAGCAGGAGGCGTGCTTTCCTCTCCTCTTCTTCTTCTCCCTCCTGTTCTCGCGTCTCGCCCTCTTCCTCTTGCCCTCTTCCTCCTTCCGTTCGTTTCTCTCTCCCTCTCTCGTGGTGTCTTTTCTGCGTATGTTAGACTCGACGCGCGTACGACCTCGGAATACGGCTGACTTTCATAGCTTCACCTTCGAATGTCGTGTGCGTCGATCTGTTTCGAGAGCTTAGAGGCTCTGCAGCAGTGTGTTTGTCCAGAACGAGTCGTAGGAGACTCGGATGGTCTACCTCCTTCGGCCCGTTTTCGGCCCTGCACTCGGGCTCCCGCGACCATTCCTATACGTCGGATGGCGTGGGACTCAGGCTGGGACGCTTGGGCGTCTGTCGGCTACGAGTCCACCCACAAGGAGTGGGGACTCTTAGACCGCCAGATGTGCAGGGGCATCGTACCGTTGATCAGACATCTGGGTTGCACTCGTTTTTTCTCAGCGAGACGTGCTCACTCGAACTATCGGCGCCAATGATGTGAATGAGTGAATGAACTTTGCTCACGCGGCTTGCCGCCTCAAACACGCATGCTGTAATGTAGGCCGCGCAGAGGCGTCAACGTGCAATTCCAACGTACATGTCCAGAAGGTATGCGTATTTACTGCTCAAGCTTGCAGCACATACTTACGGTTACTCCTTACAGCAAATGTGTACAGCAAGTGTGTACATGTTTTACTTTTTATTGTACGGTTGAACTTGCCGATGCATGATTGCACTTGCAATCATTTGCTCAATTCCTGTCGTACGTTAAACTGTCAGTTTATATGTCCGCTTAGTATGTACGGTCAATGTGTGAAGCATGCATTATCGTGCGGGGCCCGGCGCCCATGCGCAAATGGCCGAACAACCCGCCACGCCAGACACATGAATGGCCGCCTGAAGAATACAATCTTCAAGACAGACCACGCAAAGACATCAAATAGCAACTCTAGAGAACAGTGTACAGCTGTTACCTTCAATCAAGATGTACATCAATGATTTCCGAATTCGCGTGGCCTATGATGTTGATTGTGAGGTTGCATTTTCAATTATTACAGCTTGTGCGTACAGTGCAATGTGCACTTCGCTCTGCTACAGCTGTACACCTACTGCCGTGTACCTACCATATTTTCACTGCTTGGTTACAGTTTTACCGTGCAGGCCGTTCAGTCTCGGCTCGGCCAGCTCGGGGCATGAGCGGTCAAGCGTAACATACTGCAGGGCCAGGACCCAGACCCCCTTTCCGAACCTGGCACACGTCAGCACAGGTACTGCGAGGCCGAGGAGGACAGAGAGAACAGGAGGGGGAAGGCAACCCTCTCCTCCACTTCCTCTGCTCACCTCTGCTTCTCGCCCGCATCCTGCTCCTCTCATCCCTCGTCTCAGTCCCCTCTTCCCCTATCCACCTCTTCGTTCTCCTCCCCCTCCCCGTCCTCTCATGAGTTCAGCAAGTTGTTCAGACTTCGAGCAGTGGCGGAAGGGGAGCGACATTTTCCGGCCGCGCGGAGCCCATGTCTCCCTGCCAGCCGGATGATGCTGGTGGCAGCCTCGTGAGGACGCAAGGATAGTGCAGGCAAAGCGGGAGCATGTGGCACGAAGTAGACGAAGACGCAGATGAGGATCAGAAGGAAGAGATGAGGGAGGAGAAGGAGGATTCCGAGTAGCGGGAGAAGGAGGCTGACACCAAGGATCAGCAGGACCAGGAGGAGTAGAGGAAGCACGAGGGCTTGTAGCAATGGGGCTGGGGGGGCATGAGCCCCGCTGGTGGGCCCAGCTTCCTTGTGCCACCACGCCTGGGAGCACGGTGCACGCGAGAGTAGGAGTAGGGGAACATACTTGCAGCCAGGAGTTAAAGGAACATTGGAGAAGGAACAAGAGGAGAAGCAGGATGAGGAGGAGGAGGAGAGCGACGAAATATGTCGACAGACCGCGGTTGAGGGTGATGATATGTGGGCGCTGGTGACAACCGCGATGCCTCTGGACGAGAGCGCATCGGGACACCCCGTCGGGGATAGTGCCCAGATGGTATCCTGTGATTTCCCCCCCTCCTCTTGAATCTTCTCCTTACAGTGCACACTCCTCCTTTTAATCAACTTCCTCTTCCTCCTCCTCCTCCTCCTCTTCCTCCTCTTCCTCCTCCTCCCCCTCCCCCTCCCCCTCCCCTTCTCCCCCTCCCTGTCCCCGTCCCCTTCCCCCTGCATGGGAAAAGAGGCCGTGGTGCAGTGACTATAATGAGGAGCCCAACCACTGCAGAAGTTGCTGCACGCGGACTTCCCCGCTCCTCCCCCATCGGTCTGCACGACGCCGTTCGCACTCATCGGGTTGAATTTTCTCATCGGGAATGCTTTGCTCCAAGGCTTCCCCCTGTCCATGGTGCGATGTGCGAAACCATCGGCAACTTTGTTGTGTTTCCCCGGCGTCCACACTAGAAGGGCGTCGCATAAGCTCGGCGGCCTCCATCCTTTTGCATGTCAGGCTGCAAGGTAGGGCGATTCGCTGCATGATCGCCCCAGAGTCTGACAGCCACATACGACAAGGGAACCATCCCCTCCACCAGTCCCAATTCAAAACAGCTGCTGGCACCCGACTCTCAGGATATCATCGTATTCTGGTCTCTCGCATGACATTTCGGCGGGAAGTCCCTTCGGGCTCTTTGTGTTGAGTGCTCCGGTTGCGCGCTCACATGCCAGGGAACAGTTGCACACACACACACACACACACGCACAAACGCATGATATCTGCCCAACAGACCTTGACGCATAGAACGAGCGGCTGATGGCAGCCGAGGCAGGGAGACTGCGCGAACACCAAAGCTAGGACCAGACGCACGAGGTGGATCGGAACTCAGATAGCTACGTTTGCGAGGTGGCTCCCAGTCGGCGCTAGAAAAATCGGCCATTCGGGAAAAATGATACAAACGGAACTGCAAACGCACACACACAGAGAGAGACGCGCATTTGTTCCTCCGTCGTCGGCGAAGTGACACTACAGTCGCGATGGAATGCGCAGCGGAAGTGCGAACGCATTCATTGCACAATGTCTTGAGGACGGGAAGGCCGAGCTGCGCCGAGATTGGCGCGCGGGTGAATGGGGGAGACCACCACATGAACGAGCCGTGGGCATGGAGTGAAGAGGATGAGTGGCCCACTGGAAACAACGCGTGGCGCGCATCGGCTGCGGCCTGACACATGCAAACGAAGCATCGACGGCTGCGCGAGCTGTTGTGGAGAGGAGGCAGAGGAGCCCACACACACACACAAACACACACACACACACACACATACACACGCACGCACGCACGAATGCACGCACGCGCGCGCACGCACGCACGCACGCACGCACGCGCACGCGCACGCGCACGCGCACGCGCAGGCACAACCACAGGCACAGGCACAGGCACAAGCACAGGCACGCACGCACACACACATTCACATATATATATATGTGTGTATTTTTTATATTTACACACATACACACCATTTTCACTGACAGGCTGCTGGCAGCAACGACGCCTAGAGAACTTCCCAGCAGCAGGGGCCGCGTGGGTGAGACAAGGAAGCAAGCGACGACCGCAGGCAAAGGCAGCGGCAGCGGCGCCAGCGGCGAGCCGCGGAGGACCCACGCCCCGTAGGCAGAAGCGCGCGCTGGAGTCTGTCAGCGGTAACGGCCGGGGAGGTACATGGCCAGATGCAGATCGCAGAACGCGATCGAACCCACGCGGCGTGCGGGAGGGAGCGCCTGCTCCGCGTGCGGGAATGTGCTCCCGCCTTCGCCGGGCTTCCCCTCTCTCTCCACGCGCGCCTGCGGTTTAGTTCGCGTTCTGTGTGACCCACTGATGCCACATCGCCGGCGCGGTCCCTCTGCCCGGCCGCCGACGAAAAGCAAAAGTGCGTGGGAGCGTGCGCGGGAGCTCGTCATAGG